AATTTTTCTCCCCACCACTCTCCCCAAGATGGCACACAATCTGATATAGGCTATACATTTACATTCCTATTAAACATATTTTCACATTAGTGGTGTTGTAAGTAAAAATTAGAACCTATAGGAGGAACCATCAGAAAGAGGAAACAAGGGGCAGCTAGGTGGCGTAGTAGATAGAGCACTGGCCCTGAAGTCAGGAGTACCTGAGGTCAAATCCGGTCTCAGACCAAACACTTGGCACTTACTAGCTGTGTGACCCTGGGCAAGTCACTTAACCCCAACTGCCTTAAAAAAAAAAAAAGAGGAAACAAAACTCAACAGAAGAGAAAAAATGGCAATTCAACTTTCATAGTTCTTTCTTTGGATGTGGATAGCATTTTCTATCACTAGGCCTCTGGAGATGTCTTAGATCCTTGTATTGCTGGAAAGGGTTAAGTTTATCAATATTAGTCATCGAGCAACGTGGCTGTTATTGTGTACAAAGTTCTCTTGGTTCTGCTCACTTCACTCAGCATCAGACCATACAAGTCTTTCCAGGTTTTTCTGAAGTCAGCCTGTTCATCATTTCTTATAACACAATAGTATTCCATTACATTCATATACCACAACTTGCTTAGCCATTCTCCAATTGATGGGCATCTTCTCAATTTGAATGGCAGTTTTCTTTAAGCAAAACCCCTCAAACTATCTACTTATCTTTGGGCTATACAGAACAGAATAGCTGATATATTCATTCACCCAGATGCTATGTTGTCTTATCAGCATGGAGCTCACAGCAACACAGCTCAGGTTGACTCTAAACCTAGAGAGAGCTCACTAGGAGACCACAAGTTGTAAAGCCCCCTCTGCTTTATCTTCTTAAGCCGGAAGGGGCAGCAGAGAGCAGTAGGTACTTAGGGGGATGCTCCACCTCCCTCCAACTCTAGGTGATACTGAAGAGCAATAGGTGCTGCTGAAACTCTTGACCAATCAAATCAATTGTGTCTCCCACCAATCAGGATACACTTAACAGAAGACAGTCAGCTGACTCCTAACTGGCACAGTTTTAACTGAGCTTCACCTCAGTCTTCAGTGTCCTTCCTTCTCCCTTTTACCGTCTTATACTCAGTTACTATAGTTCAGTGGTTTAGATCTCCTAAAAAGTCAGAGCCTTCCAAATGCCCCCTATTAATTAGTTTTTTAAAGGATGCTTTTTAAAATCACACTTCAGTCTCCATATATTTATATCACTTTTCATTTAAAATTTTGCTCTTAATTTTAAGTCATAACACAGGAATATGCAAATGTAACCATAATGCGCTGCAGCTCAAAGTCTCCCACACAGTCCTCCAATTCTTTGGTGTCCTTGAAACTGTATTTCTTTTATATTTCTCAACTTTTAACAAATAAAAGCTCTTTCTCTACCTCTCTATAGCATCATTATTCCCAAACAAGCAAGGCATCATCCTACGTTGTTTATAAGGGGGATTTAAGTCTATATGTTTATACCACATTTTACCTCCCAAACTTCTCAGATCCCATAAAGCTGTTTCTTTATAAATACATGTCAACCATTTTTATTTTTAAAGAACTTTTTTCATACTTCTTTTACATATCAAAATGTTAATGTATGACAGTGGCAATATTGTTTGTGAGTTGATATAAATATTTCCTTTGCACAAAAATACTTTTTCTGCCCTTTTCATCACTCCATGTGAAAAGGGCCTTAAAGGGACAGTATACCTTAAAGTATGTTTTTAACAAATCCTGTAGCCATTTAAAAAGGCAATTAAATTTGTCTATGGATTAGGTAGAATTTCCTAAATAGGGTGGGGTCTTTAAAACACATAAAGATTTCTATAGGACAGCTAGGTGGCAGAGTGGATAGAGCACCGGCCCTGAAGTCAGGAGAACCTGAGTTCAAATCTGGCCTCAGACCAAACACTTGACACTTACTAGCTGTGTGACCCTGGGCAAGTCACTTAACCCCAATTGCCAAAACAAAACAAAACATTTCTATAATTCTCATTTCACAGCAATGTCAATTTCTTTTCCCATGGCCTAAATTTTGATTCTACTGAGGAATGAGCACTTCAAGTTTGTGGCATTGGGAGGGGAAGTAGTTTTTTTCCTTTTTTTTTTTTTTGGTGAGGCAATTGGAGTTAAGTGACTTGCCCAGGGTCACACAGGTAGTAAGTGTCAAGTTATCCGAGGCTGGATTTGAACTCAGGTACGCCTGACTCCAAGACTGGGTCTCTATCCACTATGCCACCTAGCTACCCCTAGAGGGACTAGTTTATTAAGTTTGTAGGCAAACTGCCTCTGGCCAATAATAATTGGACACTGCAGCTCTTGAGAAAGCCTTGGCATGGGCCAGAGATATTCTCACAAAACCACTTGACAGATGGTTTAAGGGTGTCTACATGGTGACCAAATTATATAATAAAGTCCTTTGCAGGCTAATGAATTAATAATTAATAAAGGGGTAGCCTGCTTTTCTGTACTTTGCACAAAACTAGGAAATGAGCCTGAGGTAGGCAGCTCTTCCTATGGGAACTTTTATCAAGTGTATGCCCAGCCCACACCATTGTTATAATTACAACTAAGAAGGTCCTTAAAGATCACTTAGTCTGCATTTTACAGAAGATGAAAGGGAGGAGCAGTGACTCACTCAAGATTACCTAATTCTAGAAGGCCACAGGGTAGGTAGGTGGCAAAGTAGATAGAGCTCTTAGCCTGGAGTCAGGAAGACCTGAATTCCTAAGTGTCCTCAAACACTTGCTAGCTGTGTGTGTATCCAATCTTTTGTCAAGGCCTGTCTTTTCTATCTTTGTTATACCTCTGTATACTCTCCCTTCTTTCCCTCGACACTACTACCCCAAATAAGGCCTCTCATCACCTCATGCCTGGGCTATTGCATTAGCTTTCTTGTTCGATCTCCAACAAATTCCAGTGGCTGCCTGTCACCTTCAGTATCACGTATAAAATCCTACATGGCCTCTTTTTTTAAAAAAATCTTGGGCCAATATTGCTGGATTTTTAAATTCTTATTTTAATTTAAATAGGATTTTTCCCCAACTACATATCAAGAAATTTTTTAGCATTCATTTTTACAAGATTTTGAGTCCCAAACTTTTCTCCCACCCTTCCCTTTTTCTGAAAATGGTAGTCAGTTTGATATAGTTTATACATGTGCTATCATGTAAAACATATCTCCATATTCATCACAGCTGTGGAAGAAGAAACGGAACAAAAAGAAATAAAACCATGAGAAAGAATAAAGTGGAAAAAATATATACTTCAATCTGCATTCTGAGTCCATCAATTCTTTATCTGGATATGGACAGCATTTTCCTTCCCAAGTCCTTTGCACTTGTCTTGGATTGTTGTATGGCTGAGTCATTCATAGTTGATCATCACACAGTGTTGCTGATACTATGTACAGTCTCCCTGGTTCTGCTCATTTCACTTTGCATCAATTAGTACAAGTCTTTCCAGGTTTTTCTGAAATCTGCCTGTTCATCATTTCTTATTGCACAATTGCATTCCAATACATCCATATACCAGTGCTTGGCTTCATAACTTGCTCCCTTTCCAGTCTTCTCACACCTACTCTGCCTTCAGGTGAGACTTGCTTCCTTGCAGTTCCTGGCATAGAACAATTCATCTCCGAACTGCATTATCCCCCCAGGCCTGGCTTTCCTCATCTCTGCCTCGTGGATCAGCTAAAGTCCCGCCGTCTCCAAAAGGCCTTTCCCAGTTCTCCGTAATCTTACCGCCTTATCTCGGAAACCATCTCCAATATAAACTACATATTTCTTATTTGTATGTAGTTGTTTCCATGTTGTCTCCCTGATTAGACTGTGAGCCGGTTGTTTTCTTTTGCTTTTGTTTCACCAGCACTCAGCACAGTGCCTGGTACATAGGAAGCACTTTATAAATGCTTGTTTTCTGACTTACTCCCTCACTATATATATGGACTCTGAAGTCCCATCCACTTCTAAATCTATGATCCTAGCAAGCGCGCTGCCTTCTTACTCCCTTCATGCTTTAGAGAATTAGGAACGTCCAGAGGGAAGAACTCGACAGAGTAGACCATCACTTAGGGATCCATTGCCCTCCCTACCACAGCCACTGTGAGAGTGGAGGGGAGCCTGACTGCAAACCAAGGCAGATCCCCCCGGGCAGGCATGGGCTTAGTCAGCCCCGCGCTGCCGCAGAAAAGAGCTGAATGGTGTAGCATCATATGGTGGCCACCAGAGGGTGCCGAGGCGCGCCCTGCCCGCCCCTCGCTACCATTCCCCGGCCCAGGCGGGGCACGCACAGAGCTCTGCAGGCTCCCGGCTCCCCGCCCACCTCATGTGACGCGACGGGTAGACAGAATCATGGTTATACAACTGAGCAGAACAGTCATTCATTCTTCAGAGGCAAGAAGGAGCTCCGCTGTGGGTCTGCGCGCGCACACACAAAATACGTCCAAGCGTATTATCCGCCTAAGTAGCAGGCACCTTTTTAGCAAAACGTTGACGTTCATTCCCCAAGCACCTAGCGGGGGGGGGGGGGGGGGGCTGCAGGCACGACTTAGCCCCGTGACAGGCACAAACAGAAGCCGAGGCATGGGTGCTCACTCTTGTCCTACACACGCGAAGTCGTTCCCTTCCCTTCCCACCTCCCACCCCCGAATTCCTAAGGTAACGACTGCCTATAAAAGATTAAGTCCGAGTCCGGAGACACAAAGACAAGGGCAGAGCAGGAGAAAAAGCACTGACTTTCAAGTCAGAAGAGCTAGGTTCGAATTGTAACTGCTCCAGGTGACCTTAGCAAATTCACCTCCCGCACCCTCGATTTCTCTTTCAGTAAAACAGAGGGTCCTTTCCACGCTCTGCTCTAAATCCTGATCCAAGAAAACTCCCTGCTCCGGGAGTAAAGCGCTATTTTCCTCCCACCCGCACCCCCTTTTTTCACGCTCCAGTACGCGGTCCGGGGCGGAGTTAGGGGGAGCAGGGCGGAGACGGGGGGGGGATAGAGGCGGGGCCCAGCGTAGGAGGCGGAAGCTGAGAGGGAACTTGGGCTGTCGGGGATCCGACTCCTCCGGAAGGGACTGTGGGATCCTTGGCTTTGGGACTGGACCGGACCTTAGAGATTATCTAGCTGAGACTCCTCATTTCACAGATGAGGAAATTGAGGCCCAAGGGGAAGTGACTGGCCCCAAGATAACAGGTAATAAGCAGCAGAGTCGGGAATTCGAACTCACATCTTCGAACTTTCTAGTTAAGTGCTCTTCGCAGTTCAAGGAATCTGCATATGGAGGCGGCGTAGGAGTGGGGATCGTGATTGAGACACTTTGGGATCCCCGTCTACCGGGAGGTGTGGGTGAAGGACAGAAGAAGTGAGGGTGCTACAGAGAAGCAAATAGAGAAAGGGACCTGGAAGGACAGGAAGGGAGGCGGGGGCGCGAAGGTCTGGGAAAGTGAATATTGAGGAGAAACCTCAGGATGCGAGCAGGGGTGTTGTGAGAAGCTCGGGGCAGGATGGAGAAGTCACTCTCACTTTCTGTCTCGCACCATTCTTGTCTCCCCAGGTGAAGCAACTCTTTCACTAGCAGCAGTGGGTGGGAAACCGTTCTTCTTACCTTCTAGCCGACCGTTCCCTCTCCAGGTCTGCATTGGGGGGATTCTCCAAGCCCCCCTCCCATGGGCCAGACTGCCCTGGCAGGGGGCAGTGGGACCAGCAGCACCCCATCCCCAACCACCTCATACCAAGATCTGTCTTTCCCGGAGGGACTGGAGGAGCTGCTGTCAGCACCCCCTGTAGACCTGAGTGTGCAGCAGCATCATGGCTGGAACCCCAAGGACTGCTCAGAGAACATTGAGGTCAAGGAAGAGGGGCTGAGCTTTGAGCGAAGGCCTGTGGCTCAGAGCACTGATGGAGCCCGAGGCAAGAGAGGCTACTCCAGGGGCCTGCATGCCTGGGAGATTGGCTGGCCCCCGGAGCAGAGAGGCACCCATGCTGTGGTCGGTGTGGCCACGGCCTTGGCTCCACTGCAGGCAGACTGTTATTCGGCATTGCTGGGCAGCAATGGGGAGTCTTGGGGCTGGGACATTGGGCGGGGCAAGTTGTATCACCAAAGCATGGGAAGTGGGGCTCCTAGATACCCCACAGGGCTTAGGGATGAGCGTCTGGAAGTCCCGGAGCGATTGCTGGTAGTTTTGGATATGGAGGAAGGAACTCTGGGTTATGCCATTGGAGGTACCTACCTGGGGCCTGCCTTCCGCGGCCTTAAAGGAAGGACCCTCTACCCCGCTGTCAGTGCTGTATGGGGGCAGTGCCAGGTCCGAATCCGATACCTGGGTGAAAGGAGAGGTGAGATTGGGCTGCTGGATTCGTGGGGGTGGTTTGCATTTCCAGGACACAAACTAGAGAAGGAACAAAGGTGGTCTGTCACAAGGCTCAGGGGTCTTGTTGGTCAACAGGAAGCGTACTACAAGCTAAAACAAGAGGCAGTTACATGGGAATTCTTGAAGGGAGGGATGGAAGGAGAATGCTCTAAAAACACTCAAGATTGGCCTTCTACTTGGATTCCCTAAAACTGTCTTCTTCAATTGATAGAGGAAGACTCTGGGCACAACATGGAGGCCCCAGAAAAAAATAAAAGGTTGGGACCTGGGTGGAGGGGAGGAATTTGGTCTGATGGGATGGGGTTAAAGGCTCTCTGGCCCATGGCTAAAGATTGTACTAATCCACCCTCCCTACAGAGCTTTGGCTTGGGGGGAGGGAGATAGAGAGAGGCTTCAGGTACTAAGGAACTATTTCCTCTTTTTTGAAGAAAAGCAGTAGTGGCAGTTAATTGCAAGTCTCTCATCTCCCATCAAGGATTCTGCCCTGCTATCCCCAGACCCGTATTGTTGGCATTGGTTTGTAGGCTCTGGCAAGACAACATGTACCCCCATCCCCCAACACACCAGCCTCCCAACCCTATGGCTGGATCACCCAAAACAAGGCTAGGCAAAGGAAACAGAAACGTCCAAGGACAGAAGGTGGGGGGCCAGGCCAGAAGTGACCTTCAGTTTGCTACCCTTCAAGTAATTATCTTCCTCTTCTCTCCCTGCAGCGGAACCTCACTCCCTTCTCCACCTGAGCCGAATGTGCATTCGTGACATTTTGGGGGAAGCTCGGCTGGGTGAGGTTTCTGCCCTGCCCTTGCCCCCTGCCATGAAACGGTACCTGCTGTACCAGTGACCCCACCTACTACAGACTTGACAAGCTGAGGGCCTCTTTTTCTTTAAGTGATAATGAGAGTATTGTTAACAGCTCTGTGGTAGTTTTCAACTAGAATTTGCCTGACAAAGAGGAGATGTCCCTGGATCCTTTGTCCCCCTACCCCCATCCCACCCCCATCTCTGAGGCCTGGTCAGAATAAGGCATTGGCACAAAGTTGTCATTCACCCTTGTCATTACCTGTTTCCCACCCCCCACCACCCCCACCCCTTACTGACTGGAGAGTAAGATTCTTGCTTAAGTCTGAGAAACAGGAAGTAGAGGAAGGAGAAGAGGGTTGTCAGCCACCCACCCCTTATAGGGACAGAGAACACCAAGTCACACCCTTTCCACTTCCAAACCAGCCAATAAGAAACCATAAACATGATGTGCTTCCTTCAAATTTATAGTAAATGGAGAAAGGCCTGGTCCATTGGAGGAAGGGCTGAGGAGCTGAGAACTGGTGCACACGCTCTACATGATGGAGTAAGGTGTAGCTTGAAGTGGATCGTGGGGGGGAGGGGAAAGAACATCACAATCACATGGGAGGGGGAGGGGTAAATCAGACTTGTGTAGCCTAGTCCCAGCTTTGTATGTAAGGGAGTCAGAGGGCCACATGAAGGGCTCAGTTTTTGGCTTGGATGATGTCCAGAAATTCAGGCTTAAGGGAAGCTCCACCCACCAGGAAGCCATCCACATCAGGTTGGCATGCCAGATCCTTACAGTTGGCCCCTGTCACAGAGCCTGAGAAGAAGTGAGAAAAGATTAAGTCTGAATTCCAGGAAGAATCTCTGCTTCCCCATCCTCTCTCCCCTCTTCCCTCCTTCCTCTCTCCAACACTGAGGATCACATCTACTGACCTCCATAAATGATCCTGGTAGATTGTGATACAGGTTCTGAGACATGGGTCTTAAGCCAGCACCGAAGCTTCTCATGTACCTCCTGGGCCTAGAATAGAGAGATACCCACACAGCTCTCAAATCTCCTCTTCCTGGAACTCTTAAAGGCAAAGTGGGGAGGGGTGATCATAGCAATTTCTGAGTAATCTTGTAGGGGCAAATGAGGGTATAATGAAAGGTCACTGATCTGGCTTTTAACCCCAGTTTTGTCACTTACTACCTGTGTGACTTGGGATAAATTACCACCACTCTGAACCTCCATTTCTTCATCCCTAAATGAGACTGGACTAGATAATATCTGTTTTTCATCTCTGAAGTTCTGTGATTCAAGAGGGCTGCAGGACACCAAGTGTTCCCTCTTCCTGCTGGGGTCTTCTCCAAGGGTCTTATTACCTGCTGGGGTGTAGCTGTCTTGCCAGTACCAATAGCCCAGACTGGTTCATAGGCTAGGACGACTTTGCACCAATCCTTCACGTTATCTGTGGGGCCAGAGAGAATGCAGGCTCAGAGACTTTGGAATTTCAATCTAGCTACCTCTCAGTGTTTCCTCCAGCCCCAGCCTTTTGCTTTTAAAGCCAGAAGGTGGCACAAGAGGGCAAGTACTACCGGTAACACTATTAGGCAAGTAAAAATTTCCAGGGTCTCAGTATCTTTATCTGTGACACAGGTGCTAATCATCCCTAAACCAGCCGTTACCTGCAATGGCCTTGGTCTGGTCAAAAACGACCTTGTCAGTGATTCCAGCTTCCCTCTCATCCAACTTCTCACCAATACAGGCAATCACTCCTAGGCCTTCTGACAGAGCATGGGCTACCTTCTGCCCAATGAGCTGCAGGGACAATGAATGTATTATTAAGACATGCCCCCTTTCCCATTCCCTGGGGCTTCCCCTTACAGATCCCTTTCTCATTTTCTTCCCTACTACTCACCTCATCCGACTCCCCAAAGATATGTCTCCTTTCAGAGTGTCCCAGGATCACCCAGTTGGCCCCACAGTCCTTAATCATGGCAGGGCTGAGAAAGAAAGCAAGACTCAATACAGAGGCATCTCAGTCTGAGCCTCTTTCTCTATCCCCACAACCCATAATATCAAGCTAATGTTTTTTGAAAAATGACTAAGGGACATTTCCCACAGTTTGGACCAGTCTGGTGCCTTACCTGATCTCCCCAGTAAATGCACCCTTGGCCACCTTGTAGCAGTTCTGAGCAGCTACACCAATTTTTGCATCCAGTTTCTGACGAACAAAGTCAAGGTAAATAGAAGGGGCTCCACATACCACTTCTGGGGAGGGAAGAATACAGACAAATGAAGTCATGCCCCAAACTACTTAGCCTCTCTCTTGAAAACCTGACTTTCCTCCTTGAGCCAAAAGAAAGGATACTGCCTTCCTTTTGGCAAGACAGGAAGGCTATCCTGCCTCCAAACAAAATCTATTTCCAGGATGCCCTAATCTCACTAGTTCCCCATTAAAGACCATGGGCCCAGCCTCTTCATTATCAGCCCTGCCCTCTAGTGATCTTTAAGCAGGAGTAGCTCTGGTTACCCCAAGGCTATTCTAAGCACGGGTTCTCAGCATTCCCTGAGAGGCAACCCTACCCTTTCCCCAAAATAGTTCCCCTATCCAAAGCCACATACGGGCATTCAAACAGGAAATGGGAAATGGGGGTGGGGGTTCAAGGAGCAGAGAAAGTGTATAAGCCAATTAAAGAACTTGGGAAAGGGCTGCTAAATCTGTCCTTGCAGAGTCCGGTCACTCTGCTTGACCTTATCTGGATGGACCTGGAATGGAGGAGGGGGGATCGGCTGTAGGAAGCGGGGCGTCGTTGGCTGCCCCCACTCGTGGGCTTGGGGAGCCCCAGATTCGCAGGTGCCCTTTAGTCCGGGCTGGCACGAGGGAAGCGGCCGCATTCGTGCAGCTCCAGCCGTCTCCAGGCTCCGGACCAGACGCCGGCCACGTGCCCGGCCGGCCGAGCGGGCGCTACGTGCAGCCCCGCACAGTGCGCATGGGAGGGGGAGCGGGGCTCCGCGGGCCCATTTCGCGCTGTCATCTTCCTCCCGCGACCCCGTGGGGAGGAGGGCAGCGACCCGCTCCCCTCCCCGCCCCCACGAGCGGCTACCCCCGTCCCCAGTCACTAATGGAGCCTCGCCCCCTACCCTCCGGGGGGATGAATGGGGATGCCCCCGGGACCCCGCGCGGCCGGTCCCATCCCGCTCTCGGGCGGGGAAGTGTCGCGGGGGGCGTGGGGAGGAATGTCTCGGGCCGGCGGCCCCCGCTCACCGGTGTTGGCGGGCACCTTGGCCCCGTTCATCGAGGTGATGAGTTCCCCCAGACACTTCTTGTCCCCATTCATCTTCCAGTTGCCCCCGACGAAGAACTTCCGCGACGCCATGGCTCGTCGGTAACGGGCAGTGACTCCGGAGGAGATTGAAGGTCAGCAGTAGAGCACAACCACCGCCCCAACCCGAGCCGCTTATGTAGACCGGCGACTAGCTCCGCCCCACCCTGGCGCCCCTCCCCCTCGCCGCGTTCTACGGGCCGACCCAACGCCCCGCCTCCAGGGAGGTGTCCGGGCTGCCCTCGGCGCCCCGCCTTCGGAGGGCTCCACCGGGAAGGCCACCTCATGGTTTCCCAGCCAAAATTGACTCAATACCTGTGCTCCTTCTTACCCCCATTATGGCATCGGTAAAAAGGTGGGAAGGGATTTTTGGAGCTTGCCTAGCACCACCTCATTTTACAGAAGAGTAAACTGAAGCCCAGAAAGGTGAAGTGACTTACCCACTGTCACGTTCCATTCTACCTGCATCTTTGCAGACATTGTGGGCCAGAGGACAGAGAATAAACTACACTTCCTTCTTAGCTGGTGACACCCTTGTTGGCAAAAGCTCGTAGAGATTGAATGTTAATTTTCAAGAGGCCAAGATGACTCCAAGCCTACAGTGCCAGATTCTTCTCAGGAAATTCCTGGGACCTGATGGCTGAGAGGTCTGCCATTGCTCCTTCCTCTAGCTAGTACATGGCCAGGCTCAGCTCTGCCCTCACCATCAGACCACATAAAGGGTGCCATGCAACAAAGGCCTTGATGAAAGGATGCTGCTAGACCTCAGCTTAGTGCCTAGCAATAGGTTGGCCAGGTTCAGCAGTATATCAGTCAAGGCAGCTTTGGTACCCTCAGTCCTATTAGCCCCCACTTTTCATTCATCTCATACCCTCACACTAATTTTTCACTCTTGATACAATGACATGAAGAGGTTATAAAGGAGTGTGCTCTCTGTGGAATGAGGCTGGGAACCTTCATACAAAGGCCCACTGGCTGTTTGGACGACTGAAGCCAGCATGACATGGATGGTAAAGAGGGGGGGGCTCACTTCCTAAGCCAGGCTCTTTCTCAGGTCCTAGAGACGGCAAGAAGGCAGTTCCCAAATTGATGTCACCACAATTCACCCTTTAGACTTTTATTCACATCTGGTGTTTTGGCATTTTCTAGAGGAGAGGGGTGTGGGAAAAGACTGGTAGCATTGGGATGGGGAGAATTCCCCAATATCCTCCCACTTTTCCTTACCCTATCCAGGAGGGAAGGAAAACAAAGATAGAATACAGGGAAATGGGGGAGGGGACGAAATGGAGTATAAAGAGAGAGACAAAGAACTGTCCCATCCCTGAACCGTGATGCACAAAGCCACACACACACACACACACACACACACACACACACACACACACACACACACTCTCTCTCTCTCTCTGTCTCACACACACACACACACACACACACACACACACACACACACACACACACACACTCTCTCTCTCTCTCTCTCTCTCTCTCTTCATCTCTCTTCCTTGAAGGGCCTGAGCAAGGTTACACTGAGAATCAAAAGCAGAGTTCTAAAGGGTGTGGAAGAGGGAGGGGGAACTGAAGGGGAACTGAAAAGATCTCATTACAGACAGAAGGTCCATTCCTCCCCTCCCCTCTCCCCCACCAAGTCTGTGGGGGTGGCCCCTGCATTCCAGCTTTCCCCTTAACTCAGCCAGTCCCTCAAGGCCTCCAGTGTGCTGTAAGGGATAGGAAGAGAAGGGGGTTGAGGAGGAGAATAGGGGTTCCTTCTCTGTCCAGCCCCTCCTCATGCCAGTTGGTCTGTGATGCCACTGTTGCCTGGTCTCCATTTTCAGGAAGATGTGAGGCAAAGTGCAGGTTCTTAGCTGGCCATTCTCTGGTAGAAGTAAATATAGCCCAGGTCCTTAGGTGGCTTCTCTGAGGCACATACTTTCTGGTCATTGTAGATAACCCACCTAGGAGAAAGGAAGAGAAGATGGGTGAATTGGAGTCCTAATGCTACATCAATTCAGTTTCTGAGTCATTATAGGGGAGTCATTAACAGAAATGAGCCTAGATAACTGGTTCAGCAATTCCCTACTTTCTCTGCCTACTTATGGCCAGATTTGACTATTTCCAACAACCACAGCTCCACAGCCAGGGTCTACAGATGTCATTACAAAGCACTCCTGCTTTATATAGAACCTTCTGCCCTTGGCTCTCCCATACAAATTATCTTCCAGCCTTAGGATTTTCTGATAATGCCAAACTCACAACCCTATTTCCTTTCACTCCTTTTATTATGAGCAATTAAAACACCAACAAAAACCGAACATTTCTGTTCAAAAAAGAGGATTGGATGTGAAATCCATGCACTTACTTACATTTTACATCACAGTAATAAAAGTGCCCTGCTTCAGTGTCCCTTCTGAACTTTCAGCTGTGCCTTTTTTAATGTTTCATTGATGTTCTTTTATTTGGGGGCTTTTCTTCTATCCCTAGCATTATCAACTTTCCCTCCTTCCATCCAAATAGAAGATGATCCCTTCCTATCCTTTTTCCAAACCACCCCTGCCCTGACCCCCAATCAGCATCTCACCTGCCCTCCTTCTTGATATGGCAGACATAGTGACCACACATGGTAGAGGTGCCCATGTGACTGATGAAGGCAAAGAGCTGATACTCTAGGGAAGGAGAATTTGAGGAGAAATAATAGGAAAGAATCAGAAGGAGGAATAAAGGAGGAATCCCAGAGACATAACTCTCCAAGACGCTTAGAATATAGACAAATTATAGACAAATTTTCTATTTCCCACAACCCATCCAAAAGGTTCAAAATCAAGACGTGATTTACAGGAAAGTATGTTACAGACCATGTGAAGGAACTAGGAATAGATAAGCTTCCAATCTATCAACTCTCAATCTTAAAGACAGGCTTAACTTCTGAAAGAGCTTTTAGCCCCAACAAAAAGTAGAGTTTCTACTAGTAAGTTTTGGGGTGGACACTAGAGGCCAATATTAGACCAGCAACACAATCTTGCTTTCCCCTCAGAGATACTCACTTCCAGGACCATCTCGTACTTTGGGCCCCACAGGAATAGACTCAGAGATGGAATCTGCAGCTGAGCGCCCCTCTGAAATGTCCATAGCGGCTTCTGCATCCAGGTCATCAATGTGGCTAAAAATCCAGTCCACAGCCCGTTCAAGATTGTTGTTCTGGAAGAGAGGAAAGGTAAGGTTTTTTTCCCCAAAATCATATGCAAGGATTATAATTTGGGCAGGAATATTGAAAGAACAGGGAAGCTCCAAGAGTTCCCCTGGTACAAACAACTTTTATTTCATCCATGGCGTATCTACCCTTCCCAAATTCCCCCTTCTCCGCTTCCACGTCCCTACCACTGAACTCCTCGGTCCATACCGTAGCCCGAAGCGCTTTCATGGCCTGGTCCCGGGAGAAGCCCATGGAGACAATAGTAGCCACACAATCTTCTGATGGGGGATCAGCCACTGTGCTGGTGGAGCCAGGACCACTGGAGCCAGGCAGGACAAGTGGGTTTGCAAAGTCTGTGGGGTATGGGGTGTAGTGTTGACGTGTGGAATGGGTCAAGAATCCCTGCCCCTCAGTCCCTCTTTTTTTACCCTCCTCCATACCTGGATCATCCATATGAGACATGACCCAGTTCATAGCAGCTTCAGCCCCACTATTGCCAGTGTAGTAGACAGCTTTGCGGCAGGCATCCATGGGGAAGCCCATCTCCACCAGTTGAATGATGACAGATTCATCCAACATGGGAGCTGTAGAGGGTAGGAGACAGACAAGGTGTCATCTAGCTTCCTGAAACAGTACCTGCCCTCCAACTTCCCAGGATCTTGTCCTCCTCCCCTTCCCCACCCCACCTTCTTTTACCCTCCCTTCCCCTAAACTTGAAAAATCTCACCAACCTACTATGGGTTGAGTATACCCAACAGGAGCAGAAATCAAGATGACTCATACCCCCCACTTCCATTATTCAGTGCCCAACCACACAGGGGATCCCCATTTCTGGACCATGACTACCTCCTCCTACTTCTTTCCAAAACAGTGTCACCCAGTGCACACAGCTAACAGGACAGACTTCCATGCATTCACAGGGTATGAATGGGAGATCTGGGGCATCTCCACCTTCCCAATAAAAACCCAGGGAAGGGGAAAAGGGAATACCAAAGGGAGGACTGACAGGCAAAGTACAGAGAGGAAGGAAGGGGCAGGGAGGGGGCAAGGTACAGCCCCCCCTTCTCCATCCATCAGCAAGGTAAAGAAAGACAGGCAGGAAAAAGAATCACTAACATGTCGGAGAGGAGAAGTGAGGGGAGCAGAAGGAGTCTTCATCTTCGTTTCCATAGAAACCAAGGCTACCTTTGGGTTCATCTGGGGTGACCAGGGGTGGAGCAATGTCAGGTAGCTCCTCCTCTCCAGGCTGAAGCCCTGAGCCCCGAAGCTGCGAGATATCCAGCTCCTCGGGCATCTCGATGGATACATCTGTAACCATGAAGGAGGTGAGTGACTTTCGAGCTCCCTTCAGTTTAGCCTCAACGAGTCCTCTGGGGAACTCAAGTGTTTACCAAACACTGGCACTACTTCTAGACAAGGACCAAATCAGAAAGAACCAGAGCCCAGTACTGGGGGTAAAGCCCTGGAGTCAGCCCTGCATTCTCTTCCTGGTTCTTTCACTAAATGGTAGTTACTTAAGGGGACTGACACTCAGAGAAAGGTCATCTGTGAAATGAGAGATCTGGACTAGAATTATGTAAGCTTAAGCACTGGAGAGGACCTTTGACATTATCTGGTTAAACTATCCCCCAATGCCCAACATTCACCAGGGACAAGGGAGTGCGTAACTTCTTCAACAAAGTCACTGACAGTTACTCTGCTGGGAGATCTTTCCTTACCTGCCTCCCTATCATTTCCACCTACTGATCCTAATTCCGATCAGCCTTCTAGAGCTACCCAGATGCATTTACTTCTCTTCCTAGATGATGACTCTTTAAATATCCAACACCTCCCAGTCCCTTCAGCCATTCCTCGTAAGACATGACAGCAGACTGCTTCACCACAACAATGACCAGGGCTCAGTGCTCTAAGCTTATGCAAAGTGTGGAGACTGAACCCTCCCTCTGCTTTGTCCAGCAGACACCTCTGAGCCTTTCCTTTAGCCCAGCTGACTTTGCACAAGAATTTTTTTAAAGTAAATATTAAGAGACAGGCATCAGGGTGTTAGAAAATCTGGGTTCAAATCTTCAAATGCTACTTATTATTTGTGACCTTGAGCAAGCCCCTTTCTATCTCTGATCAAGTTTCCTCATCTGTAAAATGATGGGGGTTGGATTTGATGATCTCTTCATGGCCCTTCCAGTCCTCAGTCTATCTTCCTATAATGTGTTCCCTTAGCTCCCTCTCCCACACTTATGCCCTACAGCAGCTGCCTATCTCTCTTATCTCCTTATTCTGGCTCTGCCCTTCATTCTGGTAACCTTCCTCCAGACACATTCCGTATCTTTAAGGGCTTTTCCAGCTTCAAAATTGAATCACGCCGTCATTTTCTTTTAACTCTCACCATCCCATCATCCTAGACTCCAGTCCCCAGGGTTTTTAAAAGATTACTTTAACTGTTCTATCTGCACTTAAAAATGTCTTATTGATGTTCTTTTTAAAAAACAAACATTGCCATCACTTCCCACCACCAACCGAGGCCCTTCCTTACAATAGAGTAGAGCTAAGCAAAACCAAGTGACACCCTAGCTGGGTTGGATGAGGCTGCATACCTAGCTTTTTGGGCACCCAGTCCAAGCCAAAGGTAAACTTCTTGATCTGGATGACCAGGTAGTCAGGGAACGAGGCAAATCGTGTTGTCCTGAAGAAGAGAAAGGCCTTATACACAGGGAATCTCAGGCTTTCCCTTTCCTATTCCTGGGACCTTCCTTCTCTGAAGTTCAGCTCTTCTTTGGCAAGAGTGACTGCCTTACAAAATGCCTCCCCTCAGGAAAGCTGCTAATGCTTCTGAAAACAGAAGCAAAATCCTAAAGCAGGGACATGTGGTGCTATGAGCAGTGAATACAAGTGGGTAGCAAGAGCATTCTGAAATTCGTACTGGCCTGCAGCAGCCCAATTCCTTTCATGAACCCAAACAGTGTTCATCCACATGGCTGAGCTAAAGGTGACTTGCTAGGAATCAGGACGGCTTCATCCCTGAATCCTGTTTCTGTGAGAAGGCAGTACAGAAAAAGCTGAGAAAACCTGACTTGGTGTGCATATATGTGTACACAGGCACTTCATGCTTGGAGTTTAAGAAGAAACAACCGATCCTGACTGATTCTGAACTGAAATCCCAGTCATGAACGATGGGTCCCTGGAGCAGGGCTCTCAGCACTGTATCCACAGGCCCAATGCAAATGGGACTCACTTTACAGCTACAGATTTCGCTTGCAGGGCTGTGCTCCAGAAGTCATCCACCTGCTCAGGGACCCCAAAGGCCTCCAGACAGGAACTAAAAGGCACCTGGGCCCGAACCAGCTCTGGCAGAGGCTGCTTCTCCTCTTCTGCTTGGCGTTTCTTCTCCTCGTACTCCAAAAGCTCCTCTGGGGGCACAAAATCAGAGCTTTTCTGGTCAGTTCATTTCTACTTCCCTCTCCTGGCCTGTGCCACTCAATGCCTATTCTGGCTTCCCCACTCCACCAAAGCTTAATGACCCACCAGGGAAGAAAAATAGAGAGAACTTGAACTCTTCCTGCCTGCTAACAGACCCTGAACAGAATATTATAGAAGGTTAATCATGCCTGACCCTACATGACCCCACTCTTAGATCACCTCCTGCACACCTCAGCTGCCCCAAAGCATGGGACCAACATTGCTCTGCCTCCTCTTCTCATCCCAGGGACATAGAAAGCTCAAGCCCCGACGTGGGTCTACTTATTTGTATTGCTACTGCCAACCCCAACCTTTGTTAAGGGCTGCATCCATGGGTACAGGCAGCTGCATGATATAGTCCACTCGCTGGGTGTACTTGACCTTCTCTGTGGCCAGGCACTTGATCTTCTCTTCCACCAGGAATCGGAATACTTCATTTGGGTTTTCTGAGCTTCGGCAATTCCTCTGAAGGGAAATGGGAAGGCAGGGAGGAGGAAGAAGGATTGAGGGATCCAAGATAGGGAATGAGGGCCTAGAGAGGAAAGGGAAGCCCACCAAGGCCTTCAGTGACACAAGGGTGAAATGGCAATCTTCCCTAGTAAACCCCACCAACACTGGAAGGCATCTGGTGGTTGTCGTTTTTGTAAATGGTATCTCTTGCCAATTTGGCTATAAGGTCCCTGATGTCAGGGAACCATGTATTCCCTTCACTATTCCTCAGGTGCTCTGGACACAAGTAGTACTGCCAAGTTAAGGGGATCAGAATGACTGACAGAGGAAGAAATAAGAAAAAAAGAGTAAAACAGTCCTGGAGAAGGGTTGCCTTGCCCACCCTCTGCTTATTTTCCTCCCTTCTTCAGGTCAAGAGTCCCCCTTTTACCTCAACCATATTTATAAAGTGAAGGAAGAACTCCTGGGCATCCTGCTGCCGGTTGGTGGAGAACTCTGGGTGGCCTTTGCCAATGAGGGACTTGAACATTCGAGGGGCAATGCCATCCTGAATTCCCTAAAGGAAACAGAAAAGTAGTTCAGCTGGTACTCAAAGTTTTCTATCCTCCACATCAAAAATTTCCCATAGATGGTCCCTCCATTCTAGAAAGAGAGCAACCAAAGGAGAGAACAAAACTTACCTTTTGCTCTGGCACCTGTTCCCCATCTCCAGATTCGGGTGCAGGCTTGGAGTACTCCCCTGAGAGAAGGCCATGACCCAACTTGGCTCTAAGATAACGTTCAAGAGTCAGAACAAGCCCCAAACTGAGTCCCAAGCTAACCGCAAGTTCCTGACCCGCCCCCCCCCCTTGGGCACCCTACTTCAGGGCTCTGAAAACCTTACAAGAGGCAGGGTGGTATGGAGAAAAGAACACAAGGCCTAAGAGCCAGAAGATACCAGCATGAGTTCCTCCTTCACTCTTAGTGGCTGTGTGACTAGGGGTAAGTCACTCAGCCTCCCTAGGCTATAAAATGGGGATACTAATATCTGCCCTACCTAATTCACTGAAATGTTATAAGGAAAGTGTTTTAGAAATTGTTAAGTCCCAAGTAAATCCAAGCTATCATTCTTCTTGGCTCCCTCCTATTGTCCTGAATTCTGTCAACTCAGGATACCTCCAAGATGCAAACAGTGGTAAACTTCCTCCACCTCGGGGCAGCTAGGTGGTGCAGTGGATAGAGCACCGGCCCTGAATTCAGAAGGACCTGAGTTCAAATCCAGCCTCAGACGCATAACACTTACTAGCTGTGTGACTCTGGGCAAGTCACTTAACCCCACTGCCTAGCCAAAAAAAAAAAAACTTCCTCCACCTCCCCTGGAGTCCCCACCACTCCACTCAGTCCACAGGAGTCATGGCAAAAATTTACACCTGGGTTCCTCCTTCAATTTCCCCCCTCCCCCCCACCTCAGGGCTCAGTCACATACACCTGGGTGCTGAAGTCCTGGGTGGGGTCCGATGGTGCATTCTGGAAGATCTTCTCCAACTTGTCCACATACCTAGAGGTCGAGAGAATATTTACAACTCTTCAGTCCAGACCAAACTAAGGGGAAGATCAGTGGTTACCAGTGAGCTACAGAAAGCTATGACAGGAGTCCAAAGGAAAAGAAATATTTAGAAGGAACTCTACCCCAAAAGAGAATGGATCTTGGAGCCCAGAAAAACTGCCTAGCAGGATAGAATGGGCATTCCTAGTATCTCAATATAAGGTGACTCTCTGGAACCCCTTTTGAAAGGGAAGGGGAAAAAACCATGTTTGGGATTGGGAATATAATTTATACCATATTAATCTACATTTGTTGATCTACTGCATTATAAATGTTTTCCAGCTGTTTTTCGTGTGTGTCCTCTCTTCCAAATTAGACTGTAAATCCAAGGCCAAGGATTTTGTCCTAACATTTCAAATTACAGCAATCCCAACCTCTCCCCCTTAGCTGGCCCAATAGTGTTGTTCGCCAGATAATCCAATTTCAGACTAAGTCCTGCATAGGGCAAATAAGAGATATGGGACTGGGTTTCTGTTGCTTAAGCACAAAAGCTTAAAAGAGGAATTATATGGAGAGGCAGGTCATATGGGTTTGAGGGCTGTTACTTATCTTGTTCAATTCTATCCCTTTATAATGTCTGGGGCCTGCAGAGTCACAGTAAGCTTCTGAGCAACCATTCTCAGATTTGGATATAATGCAAAGCAGGGCAGGGGGCTGATGATAATCTGAGGAAGGAGCGAATCAAGCAGGCTGTGAAATGGAAGATGAGAGATACAGAAATCCAGAGCCCTTAAGCAAAATGGCCAAATAGAGATGGGGGAGGGGAACACTCACTTCCTCTGGAAGTCAGGGATGCTGAAGAGCACTTGAACCACTGAGTTGAGGTAACAGCTATTGCCTAAGTTTCGGATGCCTGTGTAACTGGGGCCATAGAGGGGCTTGAGCTGCACGCTGGACTCCTGGATCAGCTCCCATTCACCAATCCGCTGGTTCATGTCTATCTCCAGCTCTGTCATTGTTTTGTCTGTCTGGGGTGAGAATGGGCAAGTCAGGTTTGGGATACATGATCTCCTCAGGTGTAACTTAACTGTATGTTATATCTCTTTGTGCCAATTACAGCATATAACATAGTGCTACACATATAGTATGAACTCACAAATATTTGTTAAATCACAGAATCTTAAGAGATATCCATCTCATCCAACTCTTTACATGGTACAGAAATCCAGGATAAACAGTTATCTAGCCTCTGTTTGAATCAAGGAGTGAAAAAGATAAGTTCTGATCTTAAACCAAAGTTCTTATGGGAAATCACAAACTTTGCCCAGCTAGCGGAGGTGGCTGTCCTCAAAACACTCTCTCTTTCAGTGACAGCCAAAGAAGACCAAATACTTGGGGCCCATGCTCAAGCCCAAGGGTACCCCAGGATCTGATTTTCAGGCCTCCCCAGGGCTGCAAACTCTTGAGAGAAATGGGGGTGATGTGAAGGAAGGAAGCCGTGGGAAAGAGCTTGCTCACCTTCTGCATCTTCAGCATGTCAATGCCAAAATGCGACAGATGTTCTGCCAGATTGGGATCCAAGACCATATCATCTTCATCATATGAGTAAACATCTAGGCACAGAGGAAGGAACGATGTTACTTATGGGGAGATTATGTCTGATCCCAGTCCCTCTAATTCCAAAAGGGAAGCCCTTGTGGGATGGAATGACAAAACTTGTTCAGGTCACCCTCCCAGAACCTCAAGTCAACTAGACAAACATTTATTAAATGCTTTTTATATGCCACACACTGTGGTAACAGCTGGGGTTAAAAAGAAAAGCAAAAATGGTCCCTGCCTTCAAGAAGTTCACAATCTGATGGAAGAGAAAACATGTAAACAACTACTTATAAACAACATATATGTAGATCACTTGGAAATAATCTCAAGAGAGAAGGTATTATCATTAAAGGGGACTGGCAAAGGCTTCTTGTAGAAGCTGGGATTTTAACTGAGACTTGAACGAATCCAGGAAAGGAGGTAAAGACAAAGAAGAAGAATGTTCTAGGCATGAAGGGTAGCCAGTATCTGAAAGTAGGACCACCTGAGCCCCCAATACCATTTCCTGAAAAAATGGATGAGTCATTACAATGAAGGCTCTGTTACAGCTAAAGAAAGTCGAAGACATACATAAGAGGAAGGCAGAGGCACTATACCTGCACCATCAGGTGTGATGGTGCCCAGCTTGACTGCTAATGGATACCCAGTTTCCTTGTAATGTTCCACTGCATGGTTATTGCCCCCACTGCCATCAAAGTATCGACGACCACAGAGTATGGAACCATCCGTCATGTTGAGCCACAGGTTTTCCCGCATATCACACTTGGAACATTTCCAGCCACTGCCAAAACAAAACAGAGAAAAGGCTAAGCCTTCCCTTTGAAACCATAATAGGGATGTAGCAGTCCAAATCTTCCTACCTCCAACACAATTCTTTTCTGTGTGCCCAAATGTGCATTCATACAACGAGGATAACAAAGGGCTTAGGCAGGACATTTATTTACCTGTGATTTCCCCTCTTTACCACAGCTGACCCCTCTCCCCTAACTCTTTCTCCCTACCAACTCCAAACCTGGAAGAATGCCCTCTCTTTCCCCACTGAGACGCTAGCTATACTGTCTGTGGAAGCCACAGGGCTAGGTCTCACCAGGGAGGGATTCGGGCAGGATTCTCCAGCTGCTTGAGATTGAAGGCGTGCTTGGAGACTTGCCGCACCTCCCCATCCCAAGCCTGCACCTCCTGTTTCCGTGAGGCAGAGTCTGCTGACAGCAGGGCCTCCACTGCACTGGTGATCTGAGAGAGCAGATAGAAGGGCACTGACGTCAGAGGCAGAACTGGATGCCTAGCTCTAGACACTGTTCTACCTTTGTTCCTCCAGCAGCCTTCCCCAGTCCCTCCCATCTCCCACCAGCCTCAGGCTCTCTGGTGCCAAGGTGGGAAGGGATGTCCATACCCTGTCTCTGGCCATCTCAGGCAGCCCTCCCAGCCCATCTCGGGCAATCTCCAAGTAGTCTGGTAAAATGACAATCTTCACATCCTCATCATATTCAAACTTCTCTGTTATGTCAAACCCGCCTTCCACACCTGGTAGACAAAAAGGAGAAGAAGGAAAATAGGGCAATAACTGGGGCTTGGTGACCCAGAAGGGCCTGGCCCTCCCCACCTGCTGGGTTTTCACCTCCTCCAAAACTGAGTGGACCTCAGATCAGGGCCCTTTCCTTGGGGGCAATCCTCATGGCAATGAGAAGAAATGGGTCACACTAGGATAAAGAACAAGGGCGTGGTGTTGTGTAGAATGCTCACCAATAGCCAGGCGAGTAGGCTTCTTCCTAGGGGGATCTCCAGTACTTGAAGTGGTATCATCTTCTTTCTACAATGAGGCAGAGAGGACAGGGTCAATGCCGGTGCCATAGGAATAAATATAGTGTGTTGAAGAAAATCTGAGGAAAGAACTGAACTGAGATGGGAGAAAACAATGCAATGTTGCAGGGAAAAATGCACTGAATGAAAACGGGTTTAAAAAAAAAACCCAAACCCTGAGAAACAGGATAAGGCTAGCAGAAATTGCAATGATAATAGACCACTGAAAACAATTAGAAATGCTGGGCTCCAAGTTCTACAAGTTCCATTTAGAATGTGCCTAACATGAATTGCCCCCCAGCTCATCCCCATCCACCTTACCGGACGACGGGTCCTTTGGAGATGAAGGTAGACCCGCTGGCCAGTCCTGCTATAATGCTTCTCAACATATTGCTTCCCAAAGCCCAGAAAGGTATTCATGCAAATGTAGAGACCACCCTCGGACTCCTGAGAGATGGGAGATAGGAAAAGAGGCAGGTGGAAGCTGGCCAGACAGGTTCAGCAAAGGGATGGGATCCATATTAAGATTCTAACATTATTTAACTGAACCGTGCTATTTTTAGATCTATGTCAGACAGACAAGGGGGGGTGGGTTAGTTTTTAAATAGTAACTTAAAGCAGTCATAAACCAAAAAAAACCACCCCATAATTGTTCAGTTAAATAAACCTACAAAGATAAGTACTTACAATAAAATAATAGAGAATGTCCTTTTTCAAGTATTAATCTCTGAATGTTTTATACATCCTTTGACTTCAAAATAATAAAATACATTTTAACATTACATTTTAGACTGAGACAAAACACTGCATTTGAAAGAAAAGGGAACCATAAAAGATATCAAAGTACATTATAAAAAGTAGATATAGAAACAAAAATATTTATGAATACACATATACATAGACACACTAAACACAAATATTTAGAAGGGTAAGAATCAATATGGACCAAAATACTGTTTCCTGGAAAAACTGATTATCACATTTTTTTGTTCAACAATGCTAACATTATGTTCTTTATTAAGAAAAAAACTGGAGCTTACTCTTTTATTTCTGTGCTTAGATATTCAGGATATTCGATTAAAATTATTACACTCATCTACAAAAGTTTCTCCTTTACTTGGCTGGCTATGGAAACATAAATGATACAGATCCATTCTAATTCCTATTTGTCATTTAGAACAAAAATACTAGAGAAGTGATATACAATTCGTCTTTATCAACCCACACATTGCATAAATGGTTAATGTCAAAGTTTGTACAGGGAAAACTAGTTCATAATTTGATTCTAAGAGGTCAAGAGCAAAATAATTACTACAAATTCAAACCAGACTAATCATGCATCCCTAATTTAACAAGCTAGATTAAAATCTGTAGATAATTAGAATGTCAACGTCACAAGGCAAATGGAGAATTCCACATGTAGTCACATAAGCATTAAAGCCTTAAATATTTTGTTTTTGAAATGCAAAGACATTGTATAGAAATCTGAAATCATGAAGAACAAGAGTTACAGAATTCCCTAAGGGAAACAAAATAAGCATAACCTGTTTATTAGTCAATACTACTTGAAGTCATAAATAGGAATGCTAAAGAAACAAAATGAAACTTGCATTTTATGCTATAATCATAAGGAAGAATTAGAGCCTAATTTTAAAAATTCTCAACATCAATCCTCTCTAAGAGAAACAAAGCTTGTGATGTAGACTTAATTATGACTGTCCATTTCATTTCAAAGCTCCCAGTCTTCTTAGGAATATGTCTCAAAATGCTTCCCAGCATGTTGGACTAAGTATCAACACAAAAAGTCTCAATCTCTAGAGCCTTCTCCCTCCTCTTAGACTCAATCTTGATCTTCACCCAAAAGGTTTCTCCAGGGATGGATGGGAGGGCAGGATAGACTAGGGAACCAGTTCTTTGGAAGTAAATTGAGGTTCGTACTTCTGAGGAATATGACCAAGGGAACTATATCATGGAGATATTCTATAGTGGAAGCTGGATGAATTCTGACTTTACAAAGCACTAGGAAGTCACAGATGCTCAAAATCTGAAGCTTGAGCAAGCTAGCATTCCTATCACAAAATGATCTTCCCTTCCCAAAGCATGGTCAAAACATAAGAATCCCACCAGAGCCTCCCACCCACAGAAACCACATCCATTTCCAAGACTATCCTTACTGAGAAGCCGCTAATGCATCCACTGGAGAAAAATACTGGGAAAGACAAGTCTCCAGTTCAATCTGTTCACACCTAAGAAAGAAAAAATAGGTTTCCCTCCAGGCTATGATGGAGAAAATGGAAGAGGAGATTGGGGATGATGACAAAGTATACTTACACCCTGTAGCAACAGGTGTTACCTTCCCAGTACAAGGACTTCTACAGCCTTAAAAAATCTTCACATTACAAAGAACAGGACACCAAGGAAAATCCTAGGCCTTCATTGAGATCTGAACCACCCCTAACACTGTATAATTAACACCATTCATAATAGCATTTCCTGTGGAAGAAAATATCTACACCCTTTCCACACACACACACACACCCCTAACCCAACCCCAAATGGGACAACCAAACATATCCAATGAAGATCCCACAGTACTCAGCCAAGTGGGCCACGTTTGCTCAGGGTGAAGGAACCTCATCCTCACCTGACGCTGCCAGTTCCTTAAAAAGATAGCTGTGAAAAGGCAGATAGTGCCCTTCTGGATTTTTTAAACCAGCAGGTAACAGAAATGAACAAAAGTCAATGAGAACATAAAGGGAAATACATCAGTCTCTTTTAAATGCTGAAAGCCTTTGACAGTGCAACAAGCATTAATAATGTTTAAGTGTTACCAAGAGCTACTTATGCTGGGAACTGGGGATACAATGACAAAACAAAATCAGTCCCTGCCCTCAAGGAGTTTATCTTCTACTTACAACAGGTAAACATAAAAAAACCCCACACCCTATAATTTGAAGGACAGAGCTAACAACTACACTAGGCAAGCACCATACCATGCATTATTCAATTTCTGACCTAGAAATGGAAGTCCTGGCTTTCACAAAGCAAAAAGAGTCTTCAGAGATAGATTCTGACGAATCCTCTCCCCCTCATCTAGCAAAAACAAGCTCCAGGGGAAGCAACCCTACCAAAATCTCCCAGACCACAAAATCACAGTGGATAACACTGCACTAAGACACTGGATTAAAGCTCCAAAATAGCTATGCTAAACACTGATGATGCATGTAACGAAGGCCTTCCACCCTGATTTAATGGTTCCAAGCATGAACATCCCAATCTGGCTGAACATCTCATGGCAAGGCCCAACAGCTACATGGAAAGGGAGGATCACACCCAGTTTATTTACTGCCCTCTCATTCTAAGCTCTGACCATTAGACTGTCACTGCACTAACACAATGTTTTCTGTTCCTCTATGTTCTGCTTGAGAATGAAATACAGCAAGAAAAGAGGCACTGGGTGATTAGTAAGGAGCATGGTGTGTGGGTGGTGGCTTTGTGAAGTATCTAAGTCAGGACAGGAGATGAGTAAGATTCGTTTGCATTTCTCCAAGACAAGAGCCATCTTTCGGCACCCCACTCTGTTCCTTCTAGGGGAGATATTATAGATCCACAGGTCACTGGGGGAACCGAAAGGGGGAGGAGGAGTGAAAACGAGGAAAGATGACTTTTTTTGCCAGTAGATAGGAAACACAGTCGGAGTTGCATTTGCATTTCATGATCCAATCCCAGCCCCTCCCCACGAGGTCGCAGGCTCTTACTCAGCTCTACCCATCACTGACCCTAAAGTGAGCCAGCATCTGGGGAAGACGCAAGGCACTGTTGGAACTACCCCTATGGCAGCCTGGGTGGGTGTGGGGAGAGGGGGAAGGGAGAGACGAGAGAAAAGACAAACCTCCCATCAGACTACCACTCCCAATGGGCCTCACGCGCCCAGCGAGAACTCTCCAGCCAGTCGCCACGACCGCTTGGGATATGTAGTTGTTTGGCTAGCGTGCACTGAGGCTTCGAACGACAGAGAAAGGCATGGGCGACTACATCCCCCAGAGTGCTCCACAGGACAGAGAAAAGAAGGGGTGGGTAAGGTCCTCTTGGGTGTGGTAGTTGCCTACAGTCCTTATACTCGTACATGTTAACGGCGGAAGAGGGCGCGGAGGACTACAAATCCCATGGTGCCTTGCGATAGCTCGGTCGTGCAGGCCCCGGCAGAATGAACAGGGCTATGCTAGCCGCAAGCATGGGGAGTGAGCTTACCGGTGTGTCGAAGGAGAAGGCGCATTCGTCTTTGTGAACCCGATCTCCGGCCTTGGGGACCCGGATAGTCGGTAATACAGATAGCAGCGCCTCCTCACTCAGCTCCGCCATGACACCGGCAGCAGCGCTTCCACACAGAACAGCTCCCGCGACTCCCACGGTTCCTCGCCCCTACCACCTCAACCAATCCGCGAACCACTCGGAGCGCACGCGCACTAAAAAGAGACGCGCGCGCCTGGCGGTTAGATAAAATTGCTCTCCCCTACTTTCTATGGAAACCAATGAAAAGCGCGCCTACAGCGATTGACAAGCTGAATCAGCCAATCCTCAGCCCACAGGGAAAGAACGCTTATAGGATTGCGAGGCCGGTAGCGAAGTTTTTGCTCTCCTGACTTAGCCACCTCTGTCGCCCCCTCACGCGCCTTCGGCTGACCAATCCAAGTCTACTTTTCAAGTAATTGACAGATGTTTTAACTAATCATCCCGTGAAACGTTTACTGGGAATGGTCTAATCGAAAAAAATGGAAGGACTGAGATAGTAGCTTTCATGGCATTCGAAATGAGGAAGAAACCTTAGTGTGGAGATATATTGGTAGCCCTAACCAATAGCTGTTATTGGATAAACTTTGTTCCGGGGGGGTGGGCGGTAGAAGCCATTAACCGGTCAAAGCTTGTAATAATGCCTGATCATTTATATTACATTACCTATAATTTTATTATTCTATTTTTCATTAAAACTCTAGATGATAGCCAATGCGAAACTTAGTGCATTAAACACTTTTTCTGGGATTCAAGGAATGACAGCCTGCGGGAACTAGAGGGAAATCCATTTAATTAATCAAAGGTTCTCCTGGAGATAGAGCCCAGGGCTTTCATTGGAGTAGGAGGGCTTTCTGGACCAGCATCCCATTTTAAATGCCCATTGGCCCCTGTGGGGCGTAAGACAGACACTTCCCGAGCCCAATGAACGCCCATGTCGGCAAGCGGCGTCTTACGTACAGGAGGGTGCCCCGAGGTTCAGCCAATCAGAGCGAGCCAGGGGGCGTGGCGGGGGGTTTGAAACGCAACTTTGAGAAGTCGGGACCGGATGGTAACAGATCCACAAGAAAAGCCTGACCTCGAAAAGTAAGCGAGCTCTCGGAGCTTGGGAGGCACCTCTCCCCCGCTTTCTCCGCCAGGACCCTCCGTCGAGCCTGCGCTGGGGCCTCCACTCCGAGGAACCAAGGCAGTCAGAAGTCAAAGGTCAATTCCCCCGTCCCTTTGGCTCGGGGGCGAAGCGGCGGGGAAGGTGTCAGAGACCCTGAGCGGTCCCTTTCTCCTCGCAGGTCTTCCCATCCTCCCACCCTCGTGGGCAGCTGGCCGGCCGAGCCGTGAGGATGGGCTCGGCCAAGAGCGTCCCGGCCACCCCGGCCCGCCCTGCGCCGTGCAACAAGCATCTGGCGCACGTAACAGACCCTCGTTCTCCCAGCGCAGGCATTCTGCGCACCCCCATCCAGGTACTGGGGAAACTCGAGGGGTCCGCTTTCTGCCCTAAATCCCTCAAGGGTAGTCAGTGGAGGGGAGGGGAGTGCTAGCTCCTTGTGCCTGCTTGGGAGATCCAGCAACCCTCCTCCTGCTCCTGAGTATGGAACTGTCTAGTCCAACTTACTTATTTTTACGACGAGGAAACTGAGGCTCAGAGAGGTGAAAGGAATTGCCCGAGGTGGTATCATAGCAGACCCAGGGGAAACTGTCTTTCTGACTTCAAAGCAAGTGTTCTTTTCCATTCTACCATAGCTCCCTCCACTGGATTTGGAGTCTCAACCACAAAAGTTCCAACATTTGCTTGCTTTTGTGACCATTATCATCTTCATAACAATGGCTAACATTTATATGGTGTTTGCTATGTACCAGACACTGTGCTGTGTTTTACAAATATTTTGTTTGATCCTCACAACAGCCCTGAGAGGCTGGTGCTATTATTATCCCTATTTTACAGATGAGGAAACTGTGGCAAACAGAAATTAAATGTCTTGCCCAGGGTCACACAGCAAGTAAGTGTCTGAGGCTGAATTTGAATTCTATCCACTGTGCCAACAGCTGCCTCTGGTGACCATGAACAAGTCACCTAATCTCTGAGTCTGATTTTTCTCTATATTTATCTATATGCTAAGGGTGATGGTAAAGCCTGCAAAGGAATGTATAATGTGAATCTTCAGTTGATGTGATTGTATTGTATTATTGGAGATCACAGGAGAAGAGACAGAGAAGGTGGTGGCCACTCCAGTCCTGAGAACTGGCCTAGGTTCTATGTCATATTGGCAGGTGGAGAGCTCACCACAACTAAGTCCCTCTGCCATGGAACAGCAGCAGAAAGTGGGGACCAAGGATATGGAGCAACCTCAGGGCTCAGATCCCCGCTCTCCCACATTTGGCATTATCCGAACACCCATGAAAACCAGCACAGTAGGTTGGTATTGCACCCAGGACCAAGACAGACCTGTTAGATAGAGCTACTTCCTATAAAACTATCCCAGCAAATCCCTTTCCAGAGCTATGTCCTACTCCTTTCTAAAGAAACCAAGATTTCTCTCTTCTTATCTCCACGTCTCCCCCGTCTCCCCTACTACCTTTCTATACCATGGATTTTTGCCCATTGTTAATTGGACTCTGGTCTTCATCTAACCTATGGGCTCATCTTCATCCCTACTTTAAGTCAGGAGTTATTAATCTTGGATCTGTGAACATTTTAAAAAAATATTTTGAATACTGTATTTCAATATAATTGGTTTCCTTTGTATTTCTATATATTTTATACATTAAAAAAATTATTCTGAGAAGGGGGTCCATAAGCTTCACCATACTGTCAAAGGGGTCCATGACACACAAAAAAACCTTAAAACCCCTACTCCAGTAACTAAATGACAAGACTTACCTTCTGTGCTCTTGTTATATGACAGAGAGTCTGGAAACAGTTCTTAGGTGAAGGTTGTCTCTTCCAGACCCTGCAAACCAGCTGGTAAAGCAGCTTAGTGAGGCCTTTGGGGCTGAAGCCTCTAAGCTGGAGCATTCCAGTGAGCTGGCCCTACCTGTGAAGTTTTCATCACAGCCCGAGCTGGACTTGTCTCTGGATACTCCACTATCCCTCGAGCGCAAGAAACTACCAGCCTCCCTGAGCCAAACTGAGGTTTCCCGACAACAGGCAAACACTACAGAAGTAACAGAACAGCCTCCAGCACTTCGAATGACCAGCCAGGACCCTGACAAGTTCTTAAGAGGTCCTGAGACTCCTTGTTCCTCAGGTACAAGATACTAGTGGGAGAAAAAGTAGCAAACAAGTTTTCCTTCAGAGGAAGAGGCTCCTTATGTAATGAAGAGAGTGACCTACGTTGGAGGTCAGTATATTTAGGACAATTCTAATTTTGATCTCTCCCTTCACCCTACCACCATTCAGGTTCTAGGCTCCCTAGAAGGAAACCTGCTGGCAATATCCTAGGAAGATCACCCCTCACCATCCTGCAGGATGATAATTCCCCTGGTCCCCTGATGCCTCGGGAGGTAAAGGTTGTGGGGAGAAAGGGGATTTAACTAAGTAGTCTAGTCCTTAGCAGAGCATCTTTTTTTTTTTTTTTTTGGTTAGGCAATGGGGTTAAGTGACTTGCCCAGGGTCACACAGCTAGTAAGTGTGTCTGAGGCTGGCTTTGAACTCAGGTCCTCCTGACTTCAGGGCCAGTGCTGTATCCACTGCGCCACCTAGTTGCCCCCAGGGCATCTTCTTTCTCTGGAATTGCTTTTCTTGAGCCTCCCATCTCCTTCCCCTATAGAGTAAACGGTCCACAGTGCTGAGTGAAAATGTGGGAGAATGGAAAGAAGGAGCTATTCTGGGAACCGGACACCCTCTGAAGATCACAGGACGGGCCTGGGATCAGGGTCATAACAAAGAGAACCAGCATTGTCCCTTTGTTGAGAACTAGAACCTAATTCTCTCTACTCCTGGATTTTACTGCTTCATTTTATCTTCTCCCTTAATAACCCAGAGATGGGCCCATTCATTCATCTTGCCTCCCCACAAACTGAGATAATCCGCTCTGAAGAAGAAAGCATGCCTTGTCAACCATTATCTCCCTACTCCCCTTATCTCTGAGTTCCAGATAATTCCCTCATCCCCACTTGTACAGTGTGTATTTGATGTATGTATGATTTCCTTTATATTAAAGAAAATGTTTAAAAACTTAAAAGTGGTTATCAAAAGACTAAGTCTTCGGGTGTGAGGACGGTGACTTAAGGAATTGGAGAAAAGTCAGGGAGCCACCCAATTAATACAGTGAGGCTAAGCTACTGAATGATTAGGAAAAATCGTAGATAGTATTACTGTCCCCATTCCAATTATGATCATTAAATCATCCATAACTACCATTTTACATGCTTACTTTCTCATTGTAAAATGAGAAAATTCATATGGTAAAATACTTTTGAGAAACTAAGGGGAGTCCCTGTTTCCCCAGCTTCTGTGTCCAAATATGTCTCAGAATTCCTCACCTCAAACACAATCAAAGCTCTGGTTAGTGCCCCACCTTGCCAGAACAGTGAGGAAACTCTGACTCCCCAATTTCCTCCTTACAGAAGTAGGCCTGAATAGAAGAAGTCCTCTGTCATCTTCCATTCCTAAATTCAACCAAAGCCCCAGATATTCCCCCAGCAACTCTACTGAAAGAGTCAAGCTTCTTTTTCACTGTTCCCACTATTCCCACCCCCAAAAGAAGCAGAATGGAGTCACCAGTTCCATTACTTCCAGCCACCAACCAGGACCACAAAGACCCCATTCTGTTCCTACCTTGGACCCTGACCAAAGTCCCCACTCTCTTTTGGTATCAAAAGAGCCGTGAGAATTTTCTTTGGCTCTTCCCAGCGCCTGGCCTAAGCAGAGGGGAGTCACTTGACCCCCACTATTTAGGCCAACCCCCTTCTAGCCCATTCCCGAGTGGAAAAACAAGTCGCAAAGTTTCAAAAATTCACAGAATCTCAAAGCTGGAAAGGATTAATTACAAAGGACTACAAAGTCAAGATTCAGTCTTTACAAGAATCCCATCTGGATCAACAGGTAATCATTTAGCTTTGACTTCCAGCCAATTCCATTTTGGGATACCTCTAAATGTTAAGTTTTCCCCTTGCTTCCAACCTAAACTTGCTGCTTTATTGTTTCTACCAGTTGTTGCCACCTCTGTGCTTGAAAGCCAGGAAAAATAAGCCTATTGTGCTTATTCCCTATGACCATCCTTCAGATACCTTAAGACAACTACCATGTCCTAGCTAAGATGTCTCCTTTCTAGTCTAAACATCCTCATTCCTCCAACTGACGCTCACATGATATAATCTCAAGGGCTTTCGTCACCCTGCTTGTCCTCCTCTGGACATTCTCCAGTTCCATGTCTTTTTAAATTAGGGCCGCTCATCGGGACAAATTGAGGGTCATTTCTGAGTTCTACAGGTTTTAAGATGAAGAAACTCTATCATTTTCCCCATACATTTGGTTTATGATTGTTTATGGATTATTGCTTCATTCTCTGTCTTCCCTTGTCAGACATGTAGAATATTGGCTCAATTCTGGGAGCCAGAGTTTAAGAATCAATCAAACAAACATTTATTAAGCATCTACTATGTGTCAGGCACTATGTTAAGCTCTGGGGATACAAAAAGAGGCAAAAGACAGTGCCCCCCACCCTCAAGGATTTGAAATCTAAAGAAGAACATTGATAAACTGAAGAGTGTCCAGAAAAAGGCAATAAGGATGGTGAAGGATCTTGAAGCAGTTGGGCGGTACAGTGGATGCAGTGACAGCGTTCTGTACTTGAAGTCACAAAGACTTGAGTTTGAATCTTACCTTAGGCACTTAATAGCTGTGTGCCTCTGCGCAAGTCTCTTTCTCATCTATAAAGTGGAGATAATTATAATACCTCTGTCACAAGGCTGTTGTAAGGATCAAATGAAATAACATAAAGGGCTTTGCAAACTTTAAAGTATTATATAAATATTGGTTGTTACTATTATTATAATTATCAGTTGACCCAACTGAGAATATAGAAGCTTTTGGTGGGGAAGAACAGATATGAGAGCTCCCTTTAAATGCTTGAAGGACCATCAAGTGAAGGAGGGATTGGGCTCGTTTGGCTCTAGAATTCAGAACTAGAAACCGTAGGTAGAAGAGGAAAAGAAGCACATTTAGGCTTGACATCAGGAAAAGCTTCCTAAAACAGTTATCCAAAAGGTGGTCAGTTCCCCCTTCTATCTCATCCTTACTAGTGACCTTTACCATCCCGTTCCTTTGGTGCCTACCAAGAATGAGAAGGAAAACACTGTGTGCTAGAGTGGGAAAGGGTGTTGGACCTGGATTCACATCCCACCCTCTGCCACTTACAACCCATGTGGCCTGGGGCAAGCCACTTAACCTCCATCAGCCCAGTTTCTTCTGTAAAATGGGAACAATGATACCTGGAGTTCTTACCTCACGGGTTTGTTAGGGTGTTCAAATGAGGTGTAGCTCAGGAGGATTCATTTATGCAAAGCCCTTCGCAAAACTCAAAGCACTATAGAATGATTATTTCCAGCTCTCTTCTTGGGTATTGTCTCCTGTCTTTGTTGCTATTCTACTTTAAAGCAGCAAGTTCTTCCATCCTCCAACTACTTATTTTGCTAAATATTTCCCAATGACATTTTAATCTCATTCAGGCAGTACTTGGGAGTGTTGTAGGTTGCATGCCATGGGCTGTGAGGGTGAGTTGGGATGGGGGAAGGCAGCTATGTTTGACAGCTATACTTTGCTCTCTAGGACAGAATTTTGACGTACTTAGGTGTTAGATGTGTTATGTTGATGGTGCTAGCAGAAACACAAACAAAGCACACTCTTTTCAGGACACAGCAAAAATCTCCCATACTTTCTTAAAGCAAGGTCTTCCAGCCTCCAGCCAGATCTACCTGTGTTTGAGTAAGGAGGATGAAATGTTGCAAGGGGAGAACGGAAGAGGAAATCTGCACATCTCCAAATGTTAGGCTCTTGGAAAAACATTACAGATGAACAGTGATTTGGATCCAGAATTGAAGATGGCATTTGAGAAACTTCCACGCTTTCAAAAATCCCTAGCAACTTCCTGCAACAAAACTTCCCCCCTTTAACTGCATTCTTTCAAAGATTTTATACGCCTGTAAAACAAGAACTATCACAGTCTTAGAAAAGTCAAATTTGTGGGTGACCCACAGGAGAAGGAAAGGTATATGTTGGGCATGAATAAGCAGTGGCACATTACCAGGGATGATTTGTATGCAGGGAGCAGTATAGAAGATGTAAGCAGAATTGATCAGTGGAGTTTTCCAATCAACTTGATGAGCTTACTCAGCAGTCAGGTTATATTTAGGACTTTTGAAAGAGCCTCTTTCTGTTGCTTCAGAGTATGGATGTGCTTACTGGTTCTTATGAAGAGGACAAAAATAATTACTGATTAGAATTAGAGGCATATTGGCTGGTTCCTGAGCTACCATTTGGTGTCTTCTGTGGAATGGGTTTCAGTGATGGGAACTGACCCTCAGATGATTTGTTTGGTTAGGAGTCTTGCAAGAATGGATTCATCAAGCATTTTAATCAACAAGCATTTATTAAGCTCCTACTGTGCTAAGTACTGAGGGCACAAAAACAAAAATGAAGTGTTCTCTATCCACTCAGTCATCTAGCTGCCCTTGAACTCCATAAACCATCAGCCAGAAGCCTGCAGGCTTCAGGAAAGGGGAACTGCTGGAAAAGTCAGTACCCACAGTAGCCTTCCAGCACATGAGAGACCAACTAGAGACAGGTGTGGCCTGGCAGGATCCTTCAGCTGGATGCTACTCACAGTACGGCCTTGGTAAGCCGCCGTCTCGGCCAGAAGTATCAAGTGACGCAGCTCTCACCAAAACAGTCTCTTGTTGCATGCCTACATTCATGCTAGTGCTTAGACCAGGACAACGTAGGCCCTCGGGCTCCAGGGTCCCTGGCCCTTGGTTCTGAGATGCTGTAGAGAGCCCTGAAGAGTCAGTATCTGACCTTCAAAGATTCAGAGGGACCTAACTCTAGGAGACAGAGAAATCTGGTCCTCTTCTAAGGGTACAGGAACTCAGGTGACCCAGGTATAGAACAAGCAGGGCCATCCAAAAGCATAGCCCTGGACAAGGCCTGGCCCTGGCACAAAGCCCCAATTTAGAAATGATGTCTGGAGAGATGAGTAAACTGAATAAGACTGCCATTATAAAAAAAAATACTATAGATCTAAAAATATTTTTTAAAAATTCAACTAAGAAGAGAAATACTCTATAACAGCTATAGTCAGAGGCTCAAAGGAAAAAAAAAGATTTTCTACAAGGACTCCATGAACATCTGGAAGAAATGAAACTCGATGGGGCAGCTAGGTGGCACAGTGGATAGAGCACCAGCCCTGGATTCAGGAGGACCTGAGTTCAAATCCAACTGAAGACACATAACACTTACTAGCTGTGTGACCCTGGGCAAGTCACTTAACTCCCATTGCCCAACCAAAAAAACCCCCAAAAAACCAACAACAACAAAAAAGAAGCTCGTCATTAAAAAATAAAAGCCCTGTAGGAAAGCATTTGAAGAAGACGAGATAGTTTAGATCAGAAAGTGGTATATCTTACCCATGTAACAGACTCCATGAAAATTAGAATAGACTAAACAAAAATCAGTGACTCCAAGAGAAAGAAATAAATGTTAGATGAAATCAAGATTGAAAAAGTAGAAGAAGATATATCTGATATATAAAACAACTGACCTAGAAAACAGGTTAAAGAATAATAATTTAGGCATCATTTGGACTCCCAAATAATAAAATATAAAACATAACAATAATAAAAGACATAATAAAAAAACCCTATTTCAAGAAATCATAAATGATTTATTAGAACCAGAGGGCAAAGTGAAGGTAGAAAGCATTCACCTATCCCACCTGAAAGAAATCTCAAAAAGGAAAATTTCTAGAAATGAAATAGCCAAAATCCAGAGCGTCTATGTCAAAGAAAAAATATTACAAACACTAATAGCTAACAGATATGTAGCCCTTATTACATAAGTGCACAGTGCTAAGTGCTTTACAATTATGATCTCATTTGACCCTCACAACAACTCTGAGAGGTAGGTGCTATTATTAAACAATCAGAAATAAAGTTCAAAGACTAGCTCCAGGGAAGCCGTGGAAAGAGCAAAACTGCAAATGGTAGAAGGCAGCCTTCTGAGCCATGGACAGATGGGAACTTACTTCCAGGGTCTGCAGTCCTAGAGACTGCCAAGAGAAGACCTACCCAGGTGAGATCTTCTGCTTTCTTCTAGCGTGATCTGAGATCTCGCCTTGCTCAGAGCTGAAGAGCTTGTTTTCTCTTATGAATAGGATATCCCAAAAGTCTTAGTACACTTTTTTTTTTTCAGTTAGGCAATGGGGTTTAAGTGACTTGCCCAAGGTGACACAGCTAGTAAGTGTCAAGTTTCTGAGGTTACATTTGAACTCAGGTCCTCCTGACTCCAGGGCCCTCCTGACTCCAGGGCTGCTGCTCTATCCACTGCGCCACCTAGCTGCCCCTACTTTTAAAGCTTAAAGCTGCACTAAGATTTTTGGGACACCCTGTATTTTCTGATATACTCTAAACCAGGGGTGGGGAATCTGTGGCCTCGAAGCTACACGTGGTCCTCTACGTCCTCAAGTGCAGCCCTTTGACTGAATTCAAACTTCGCAGAACAAATATGAGATCTGAATTCAGTCAAAGGGCCATACTTGAGGACCTTCAGGGCCACATGTGGCCTCAAGGCCACAGTTCCCCATCCCTACTAAACTGTAGAACTTCTATTATTTCTGTTTGCTATTTTGCTTGGATAAACGAGCTTACTTGTTATTCACTATGTATAATGGTCTTTTGGGTCTATAAGGTGAAAACAGGCTAAATTGGTAAGGGTAAGCTAAAGGCTGCCCTCTCCCTTAAGCGTGATCAGGGGCTCATATTCCTAGACCAGGTATATTGGGAGGTAGGGTGGCAGATAGATATAATTCCAGCCCAATACCCCTCTTGAATCTTAGAGAACAGGCTGCCTGACCTCTCCCTCCCTGTCCATCTTTCACCCTAGCCAGTCCTGATGGTGCAGACAGAACCCTGTCTCCTACTCTAGACAGAGGTGGGTCAGGTGTTTAGACAATCCACCTACATATGTAATCTCACGTATTATTGAGCTGTGACTGTAGGGATGTTCTGGATCCAGTCCATGGGGCAGTTGTTCCAATAAGCATTTACACCACAGAAATAGTAAATGCTACAAATCAGAGCTTGATTTATTGCTGTGTTGATTATCTTCTAGACTCAAGAAAGTGATGGAGAAAATGTTAATAATACCAATTAAACTTAAAAGGGTGTCATGGGTATCTTTTTTCCCCCCAGAGAGTCAGTTGTTAAACATTTACCAGTATACCTTTGGCTGTTAGAAATTTACAAAGGAACAATTTAAAGGGTTCTTAGAAAGAAAGAATTGATGCAGGGTAAAGTGAACACAACCAAGACAAGGATTTATATGAAGCAAATAACATTTTAAAGAAAAACACCTTTTAAAGACTTAAAAACTCTGATCAATGCAATAACCAAGCACCACTCCAGAGGACTAATGAAGGATTATACTCCACCTCTTGACAGAAGGCTGATCAATTCAAGATGTAGAAAGAGATATACATTTTTGAAATGGTCATAATGTAGATTTGTTTTGTTTGTCTATACTTATTTGTTATAAAGGGTTTTTCCTGTTTTTAACATGGAAGAGGAGAGGAAGAGGGGAAGACAGGAAGGAGTTACAGGTGATGATGATGATGATGATGATTTAAAAAAGAAAAAAAACTTTTATAAGAGCATAAACAATAGAAGGTGGTTCAGAAGACAGCAGAGATAAGCAGGACAGTTTTGAAAGTAATATGTTAAATTTACTATATATACCCATATATATATATATATATATATATATATATATATATATGTATTTATGTATATTTTTACAAAGCAAGTGATACACAATTCACAATTTTATCCTTTCTGAGTGTTTACAATCCTCTGTGTTCTATTTTGTTTGTAGAAATGCTCATTTTTGTGTTTCTTAAGCTCGCAATAAAAAAAAAAAGCTGAAATTCAAACCTAGACCACCCCCACCCCAAAGAAAAGGAAAAAAATTACTTTGGCCACTAAGAATGGAAGAGAAACTTGAGTCAGGAAGATGAACTAGGCAGTCTTGTTTGTCCAGGTGAGAGTTTAAACTACTCCTCTTTGCTGGCCTATAAAAGAGAGCCAACAGCCTGCTCTCCTCCCCTTTTTAACTTTTCCTTCTTCAAACGACAGACCAGAGTACAGTAGAGTGGACCTGTCCACTCTAGGCTAAAGTATTCTGAGGAATATTTTCTTCCCCAGAGCATCCAGGTTCCTGCTCATTTGAATGCTTCAGATAGGTAAATGTTGTGGGCAGGTTGCACCTGTTTAGAAAGCATTTACTGGTAACTGGTTGGCAAGAACAATAGACCCCTGTCTCTCCCTGCCCTGATTCAAGAAGATAGAAGAGGACTCTGTAATCCATGAGATGACAGCAGACATGACAGTGGTGGATTGTCAAGAGTTCATGCTGAAACACATGACAAGAGCAAACATGGTTGCCCACATGGCCTAAAGTTGAAGTCTAGGGACAGTATTATTCCTAAAACTCTGCATCCCAGTAAGAGGAGGGAAAATTTCTAGGTGACATGATCCCACAATCTTACTTTCTGGTGGTAAGGGGAGATTTCTTGGGTAGCATCAGCTTTGGGGGATTGCCTCAAGAATAGCTCCAAGGGGAGCAGCTAGGTGGCACAGTGGACAGAGCTCCAGCATTGGAGTCAGGAAGACCTGAGTTCAAATCTGACCTCAGACACTTGACACTTACTAGCTGTGTGACCCTGGGTTAGGCACTTAACCCGGATTGCCTCACCAAAAAGCAAAAAAAAAAAATAGCTCCAAGATTGAGAGTTCAGAGACTTGATCTTTTAGAAAGAAAGTTCTGAGCAACTCTTGGGGGAGTAAAAGGTTTACTCATGTGGCACCTACTACTAGGAATCAGTAAAGAACTAAAGCTACAAGATGAGGTAACAGAAGACTTGTACTTTGTTTCCTATTATTAATGTGAATTGTTTGGACAAGGTACATTGGGAAAGAGATTGCCTGTCCAGCAGTTCCAAAGTGTGTTTGCTTTCCAGGTATAGTCCTACATGGCCTTCCACTATATAGTCACAGAGTGACATTGTTAGTCAAGGAGGGAGTGGACCATGTGGGAGAAATTTATTTCATTAAAATGTCAGAATGTTATGAGTGGCTTATGCATTTTCTGGATTTGTTTATAGGCTGTTTTGAATCTTTTGTATCTTCTGCATTTTTCTGTGAAGTGACATGAAGACTGTCCTCTACTCAATATATACTTGTTACCTTGAGTGCTTGTTCAGGAGTTTGGGATCCCATTCCTCATATTTGTGGAAATCTAGACACACATATTTGGAGATTTCTCAAAGCAAACTCTGAATAAGGGCATATGAGCCAAAGAGATAATGACCATTTTTGAACCTACCTACAAGATCTGAATTGATCTGGGTGAGTACAGAGTTTGGAGGGCTCTGGGTCATGGGTTACACATCAAAATGTGTAAAAAAAGGAGGTCAGCAAGTGTTGTAGGAAGAACAAGGGATAACCGATAGATGGACTAGTTAAATATTGATGGGATGTTGAAAGAATGAGAGGAAGGCTGGCATTGTATCAGTAGGATCCTCTTTGAAAGACTTATGAAAGGATATAGACAAGAGTTATACAGAAGAAGTTGTAGATGGGTTATAATATGCACCATGGGAGGAAGTAGTCACATAGATAATATTATGGATTCATCAAAAAACTCCCAATAAAACTATACCCTTATCCCCTGACTAGCAAGACCCTGTGGCTTAATCCCTGAGGTAAATCTCACTTTCTTCTACTTCCTGTCTTCTCCAAAGTAGCCTAATGATTATATTCCAGGCCTCCAATTCTGTCACCTGTTCTAGGTCCAGACTTTACCAAGCAGCCATCCATACCATTATTCCCTTAGCTCCCTCTCTTTACAACTGAGCTTTCAAGTAGGTGATTCTAAATTTGACCTGGGGAGCTTAAACCCTTAATACCCTTTCTCTCTCATTCCACCTTTTGCGTCAGATCAGATAATGCCTAGGAATTATCACTACTAGTTTGTAGTTCTGCCTAAGCTCATTCTTTTCCCCTTCCTGGACCTCTGGAAAGTTCAGGAGGGTTTAGGCCCTAGAGTTTTTAACCCTCCGTGTTGATGGAAAGAGAAGCTTCAATTCCTCTTGGGTCACCTAATAAAGTGTGTGAAGGTTTTTGAAGGGGTGAGTATTGGGTCCCTTGAACAAGAGGAATGAATGTGAGTCAACTCACAAAGATTGCTATACAATAGAGCTGCCTTTTATTGAATATGAGCTAGAAAAGAAGGGACATAAGGAAAAGGAACAAGGGTTAAAGAGGGTCCTTAAGCAGGGCACAGAGAGGAGGATAAGGTTCTGGTTTACCCCAGTAATGCCTAATTATACCTTCTAGGTCTGGGCTACTATGATGGTTGCTGAAACTAGAGGTGAGGAACCCAGGGCCTTCTAAGTCCTTGCTTCCTATCAGAAGTAGCCATCTTGTTTTAGAGGCTGTGAAGGGTGTTTAGAAAGGAAGAGGAAGAGGCTAGATAGGGGTCAGAATGGTCATTGAGGAAGGTACGGGGAAAACTGCACAAATGTGTAGGGAAGGGGGCCCATACGGCCATCCTGCCCCAGGTTTTGCTATTTGCCATGCTCTTCTCTATGTTTCCTAAATCCTACCTGCCCTCTAAGGGGGAAGTACTGAGGAAATGGTAGCAGGTGAGATCGAGTCTTCAACAGGATTCGGACTACCAGAGATCCAAGCTGTCCTTTATCTCCCATCTTGTGCCACCCTCTTCAGTTCCAGATCTTGAGGAAGCTGTCCCAGGAGCCTGTGGCCACTGCCATCCCATCAGCTGTAATCCCCAGGCAACTGACTCTGTTGTCATGGCCTGAGAGGGTCCCTAAGGAAAAGCAAGATAAGCCTCTAGACCTCTGGATTTGAGCAGAGAAGAAAGTATTCTGATCAATGGCAGCCTGCATCCATGGGGAAAAAAACCGTTTCCTGAAAGAAAGGGTTCTCTCTTCTCCACAAAAGCCAATGGGATTTCCTATGTATCAAAGAGCCCATTAGAAAAGACATTCCCCTCTGCTTGGGGATAAAGGAAACCCAGGTCCTTGCGGTTATAATAAAGGAGGAGGAGGGAGTTCTCTCTGTTCTCTGGTGAAAGCTGGAGGAGGCAAGTACAAGGGTAAGCTAGGCTATTCTCAGGGGCCAGGCAGGCCCTAGCTTATCCCTTTGCATTTGGGTCAAGAACAGGTCAGTGAATCCTGGGGGAAACTCCTCCAAGTACCCTGATATAACTGGATGTTTCCCAAGTACTTAATACTAAAGACCCTAGGCCAGCGAATTAATTTTCAGATACCCTGAGGGGCTCATTTCTGTTAGTGCTGATTTGGCCTGGGCCCAGAACTGCCTAGTCTGTGGCTTGGTAGTATAGAAGGGCCCAAATTCAGACATTTACATCCACATCTTTCACTGTCCTCTGATGAAGGGAATGAGATGGTCTTAGATCATTAGATAATTGTTAGAATGGAGAAGACCATAGTATCATACATTTAGAGGTGGAAAGGAGTTTTGGTCATCAAGTCCAACATTTCCTCATTTTAAAGATGAGAAAACTGAGTCCCCAAGATGTTAAGTGGATTTGAATTCAGATCTTTTGACTCCATGACCAACAGGGAATTCTGGGAATCCTCCCTCTATTCTTCCCAACTTGATCTCTCATTGCTAGACACAGCTACTATAGAGAATCAGTGGCATTAGTTGTGGAAAGATTGCTCTTCAGTTGTGTCCAATCTTTCGTGACCCCATTTGGGGTTTTCTTGGCAAGGGTACTACAGTGGTTTGCCATTTCCTTCTCCAGCTCATTTTACAGATGAGGAAACTGAGGCAAACAGGGTAAAGTGACTTGCCCAGGGTCACACAGCTATTAAGTATCTGAGGTTGGATTTGAATTCAGGTCTTCTCAACTTCAGGCCCAACTCTCTATCCACCATGCCATCTAGCTGCCCAAAACAGGATACCTGAGTAGTAATAAAACCATAGAAATGGAAGGGGACTCAGAGATTATACAGCCCTTCTCCACATTATAGAGAGAAAAAATGAGACCCGAGAAGTGAAATGACTTGATTAAGATCACAAATTAACAGGAGAGCCAAGAGTAGAATCCTAATGTCCTGGTTCCAAGTCTAAACATCTTTCCATCTGATCTTTTTTTTTTTTACAGATCCCTTTAAGAGAATCATTAAGACAGTTAGATGATGTAATGGATAGAAACCTGGGCCTGGAGTCAGGAAGATCAGAGTTCAAATCTAACCTCAGATACTTACTAGCTGTGTGACCCTGGACAAGTCATTTAGCCTCCATTTGACTCAGTTCCCTCAACTGTAAAATGAGGATAATAACTGCAGCTACGTTGCAAGTGAGGATCAACTGAAATAATATTTGTAAAGTGCTCAGCACAGTGCCAGGCACATGATAGGTGCTCTTTAAGTGCTTATTCCTTTCCCCTCATAACATTTTAATTTGAATGTGATCCAAAAATAACAGTAATAATCCCCATTCACATGGCATTTTATGCACAAAGTACTTTACTTAGGACAACTGTGGGAGTTAGCTAATATAAGTATCATTATGTAGATAAGAAAATGGAAATGACAACATGAGATGGTCTTCGAGTGTTTCGATTGAACACGATGGTCCTGGACTATGGGGTGGGGTGGTCAGTATGATCTTGAAATTGAGAGATAGTAGTATGGAGAGATAGAGGCCACTGGGGGCGCCATAGTGCACAGAGTGCTGGGCCTGGAGTCAGAAAGATGAGTCTTCCTGAGTTCAAATGTGACCTCAGATACTTACTAGCTAAAGTCACTTCACCCTGTCTGCCTCAGTTTTCTCATCTGTAAAATGACCTGGAGAAAGCAATGGCAAACCAGTATCTTTGCCAAGAAAACCCCAAATGGGGTCACGAAGAGTCAGCCACAACTGAAAATGACTGAATTGAAGTACAGGGAGAGCCTCCTGAGTTACAGCTGGTAGGAAAGCTCCAGATCATGGAGGACAGGTGCAAAGGTCCTAAACAGGGAAAGAGAGGATGCTGGAAGGAACCAGAGACTTCGTCTGAAGAAAAGGGCAATCTTACCAACACGTTCACCCTTCACAGAGTCCCAGATGTTGCAGTTAAAGTCATCGTAGCCAGCCAGCAACAGGCGGCCACTTCGGGAGAAGGCAACTGACGTGATGCCACAGATGATGCTTTCATGGGAGTATGTGATCAGCTCCTGGTCAGACCGAAGGTCGAAGAGACGACAGGTGGCATCATCTGAGCCAGTACAGATTGCTTCACCATTGGGAAAGAACTAAGAGGAGAGGCAAGACAACAATCGCGTCAGGGGGACCTTTTAAGTTACACTATCCCCTATTTTTTTAAATCTTCTCCTTGACTATCCATAAACAATTTCCCTTCTACTTCAAACCCTGGCCCTCTGGGATCCCAGAGCTTGACATTTCCCTGTTTTCTGCCTCCTGATACAATTAGGACCCACGTTTTGGTTTCATGGTGGGGGGGGAGGCAATTGGGATTAAGTGACTTGCCCAAGGTCACACAGCTAGTAAGTATCTGAGGCCCAATTTGAACTCAGGTTCTCCTGCCTTTAGGGCTGGTGCTCTATCTACTGTGCCACCTAGCTGCCCCTCCCCCACCCCCTGCTTTGGTTTTAAAGCCTGTGGTTCTTAAGGGTTTGGGAGATGTGAGAAGAGCTGGGCCAAGTCCAGAAGTTAGAGGTAGAAGGGCCATAGTAAGGTAGATTAGCTAGAGCAAGAGAACGGGAAACAAATTGTAGGTGTGGGGTGTAAATAAAATGATCACTAAAGGATATTGAATTCTGAGTAATGGTAAAACCAATGAAGATCCATCCAAGAGAAAAAAATAATGAAACTTCTCCCTGAGAGCAGAGAGGTGGAGAATTACTAGGACTGAATATTTTCTACATGATCAGGCAGCCTTATATCAGATGCTTTCACTTAATTGTTTTTTAATTTGTTCACAGGGAGTTTGGTTTTGAGGGGATGAGGAAGAAATGATTGTGATATAATGGCCAAAGTCCTCAATAAAATGTATGTTAGTGAAGTAATGGAATCTCCATTACTTTATATTTTATATATTATATTAATTATATTATATTATGTTACATTACATTATATTATGTTATATATTATATTATGTTATATTACGTTATATTACGTTATATTACGTTATATTACGTTATATTACGTTATGTTATATTACGTTATGTTATATTACGTTATGTTATATTACGTTATGTTATATTACGTTATGTTATATTACGTTATGTTATATTACGTTATGTTATATTATGTTATGTTGTTATATTATATTATATTATATTATATTATATATTGTATTTATATTTATAATACTTTATATTACTCTATGTAGAAAGTAAAAGGTACATACACAGATAGCATTGATGTCAGACTCATGCCCAGTGAAAGTTTGGCGGCAAGTTCCCTCTCGGACATCCCACAGCTTGGCACTGGCATCACAGGCCCCAGAAATAAAGAGTTTGAAATCGGGAGAAACAGCCAGGCTCATGCAATCTCCTGTGTGGCCCAAAAATACCATCTTCTGTTGCCCAGTCTCAATATCCCACAGAGCACTGTAGGCAGCATGGGAGAAACATGAGTAGGAGAAAACAGTAGCAGCATCTCCCCTAAAAGTACATTGTTTTGACGCCTACATTTCCCAACCCCCCAAAAGCATTAGCTCCTACAATCCCTTCTTTGTTACCATGTGGTATCTCCAGAGCTGGTCACAATGTTGTTGTCATCTAAGAATCGGCAGCAGGAGAGGTAACCTGGTGGGGATAGAAGGGCTGTCACCAGGGGTAATGGGTGAGCCTTAAGAAAGGCTAGGCCTTCTTCATGTAAAGGTGGAACCTAGGGCCAAAGTCTCAGTGTGAGAGGTTCTCCTCTGGCAGGGATCTCACCTGTGTGGGCAGAGAGCTCCCGGCTGACTTTGACGTTGCCCTCTCGGGACTTGAGGCTGTAGATGGAACACATATTGTCCAGCCCCCCACATGCCACAAAGTTTCCCGATGGAGCATAGGCACAGGTCATGACCCAAGAGGAACGAAGTGGAATGGCATGGACCTGGTAGGGGAGAGCAGAATGTCGTAAGGACTGGTAGTAGCAGGTTTAGAACAGGAGAGGGAGGAGGGTAAGTTAGAAAAGGAAATAGAAGTAGGTCCAAGAAGCATGACAGTAGAAAAGGGGCTTTGCCTGGGTAATGGGGAAAGTACTTCAGGGTGGATGGGGACAGATCAGACAGGCACCTTGTTGGTTGTATAGGTATCCCACACAATCAGCTTCCCATCCTGTGAAGCACTCACTAGCAGCCTAAAGAGAGAGTAAGGCGTTCAGGTTACTCAAGGATTTCTCCCTTTTCTTCCCTACCCTAAGTCTTTCTTCTTCAACTCACTTGGAGTCAGTAGACCAATGCATGGCATAGATCTTGGCCAAGTGTCCACGAAGAGTCCGGCGTGTCCGCATCTGAATCCGCCCAACAACCTCTACACCAGAAGTAAGCTATAAAAGGATAGAGGTTAATTAAAGTTTTAGAGGCTACCTAGGTTCCTGCATGCTGATCCCACCCCATCCCTGGACTGTCCTCTCCTACAATGTGACTCTGAGCATGAAATCCTGAATTCTTCTAATCTTTTTCTCCACTTTCGAACCCCTGATCCCAATTCCCATTTCCTTTGGTGGAAAAGCGCTTACCTCTGCCAGGGTGGTGTCAGCACAGGCTTTCCGGGCATCCTGAGGGGAGAGCAAGCATCAAGGTAGGAAACGGCAATAGGGAGACAAGGAGGTAGCTAAGAGTCCTGATGCAAGCTGGGGGATGGAGGAAACCCCACGTTTGAGGGGGATCCAGCGTAAGGGACCCTTAGATCTAGAGTGCCAGCTTAGAGGGTTCATGGGGTTGAGAAGAATCCACAAGTATAGGGATCTCCAGCATGAGAGATTACCGCAATCTGTGTCTTGAGCTGTTCAGCTTCCTGACGTAATTGCTCCATCTCCCCCATGGCTAATAGATGAAACTGCTCCTGTTTCTGCCCTAGCAAAGGGATGTAGATAATTAGGGAACTCAATCTCTGTGCCCATTGCACCTCCCTTCACCCTCCAAAGACTCCCTTCTGACCTTACCAAGTCACTTATGCTGTACCCCTTCACATTCCATCTAGACAGCTCCAGAAAAGAGTAATATTCCTAATAGCTCCCATTTATACACAAACTGAAGGCTTACAGAGCACTTTTCTCACAACCACCTTGGGAGGTAGGTGGTACAAATGCCATCACCCCATTTTATAGATGACAGAAGAGGTGCTAAGAGAGTGTAATAAATTTCTACTCTACCATGTAAAAATAATTAGACCCTTTTGCCTGGACCAGTGTGGGATCCTTTCCCAAGAAAGAAAACCCTTCCTAGGGCGCCTTCAAATGGACAAATGATAAGGTTACCGTCTTGCCCGTTCCCTCTAAGTTCAGTTATGCTAGGTTCAGTCCCGCCCTTAGTTCACCAGAGCAATCCCTCCAGCCCTTCCCACTCTGCCACAGTAGCAGGACCAGTCCTTACTTGAAATTGGATTTGAGCTTGCTCTGGATCTTGACTCTTCCTCCCCTTGCCTCCGGTCCAATGCCCTTGGGTCAGCCACCCCAGCTCTACTGCTGGAGACTGGCCTGGTCCCAGTGAGGTAGGGGGTGGGTAAAATCAAGTGGGGAAGGGGAAGGACTAGAGTAGAAGGTTAAGGTCAGGACAGTTAGGATATTGTCAGGGACCTAAGGGGAAAAGGCCGGAACTAGATGGGGAGAGTGTAGAGCTGAGTTGTGGTGGAGCCAGTTTCCCTTGCAATGTTCCCCTGTGTTCTTAGTTGGGGGGCATTAAGGAAAGATAGGGGTGGGGGAGGAAGAGCACGTGCTTACCAGTCCACCTCTCTGATGGCAGAGATAAGAGCATCAAGCCACAGCTGGGATTAGACTAAAGCTGTCGAGGATTAGGGGGTCAGACTTTTGTTGTTGTTGTTGGGGGGAGGGAGACAAAAATGATAGCAACGATAACTCCTAAATGAGATTATCCCAAGAGGGGGAAGATCCAGCCCAGATTCCAGGACAGGGAATAGGGTGAGGGTTAGGGATGATGACGTTGTCAAACACCCTTCTCCACCAGCCCAGAGTAAGTGGCTCCCTAGGACTGATGGAATCACTAACAGCCAGTAGGGTTTATGAGAAGAGGGGAGCATCACACAGAAAACAGAGATGAGATTAGAGGAGACTGATCTGGATAATCTCCCTCCCCAAACCCCCTACCAGCTGTCCATAGGTCTTACCTTTAGGGGAAGGGCTGAATGTGAAAGGGGCAGAATGTGGAGGGTGGGGGGGGCCTGTCTGGATCCAAGACTAGAGAGCCAAGGTTAGGAGTAGACCACCTCCATTTAGCCCTCTTCTCAGTGTCAGGCATCCACAACTACCTCTCTATTCCCCAGCATCCCAGAATGTCCTGTCCTAGGAGAGCAGAGTGGCCAGTCAGAATGTCCTGGAACCCATTAAAGTTTTGGTAGAGAAGAGTGGGTAGTGAAGATTGAGGCATAAAAGGTGGGTTGATTTTGGGCTTGGACCATTTGCATGAGCAGAACAAGTGACAGAGATTTCATTAACAAATTTGGAATCCTTAACTCAACCTCATGGCAGCACACTGAACCAACTTTACATTCACATTTACATTCACAAGTAGCACAAAATTTGGGATCTGAATGTCATTTATTGCTTTGTGTGACAGGCTAACTGTGAGAGGGGGACGGCCTCCCACCCTTCCTCCCTTCCCTCCTTGCCCCTCCAAAGCACTCAAACACTTTCTGTTCTACCATCACCTAGGAGAGGGAGTTTGTTCATTGAGAACTCCCTCTACAAGTGAGATCACAGGTCCAGCCCCTATTCCCCTCCCATCACTTAGTGGAAAATGCTCCATTGTTCTTCTTGTCCTCCACAGGGGCTTGGGATGAGGTTGGGGAGGTCAGCATGCCCAGGAAGCCACACTCTTCCAGGCTCTGAGGTATTCTGCCCATGATATTACCTCTCCTTCTCCCCCTTTTCCTACTTGCAATCCCAGCTTCATGACAGAAGTTCTATCCCTTCTGACCCTTGAAGTGAGAGGGAAGCTTTCTCTGTTCCGTTGATTATGACGTTGAAGGCACTCGATGTTGGACTCATGATGTCAAGGAGTGGCTGTGTGCTACACAGAATGAATGCGGCACCACCACTATTCCCCCTGCCCCTTTGGTTGGGATGTCTCTAAGTAGGTTTTTTTCTCTTTCACCCCTTCAAAGCTCTTCCCGAGCAGGATGTTGCCTTTCAACCTCCATTCGGGCTTGCTGTGGCCTCCTTCCCAGTGCACTGGGAGGCTCTGGGGAGGAGTTCCCACTGGGTATTTCCCCCTCCTCAGCTTCTTCCTGTTCCCGTAGCAGCATCTCAGCCTCTGCTCGGTCCTGGTTGCACGGGTGTAGAGAAAAAGTCAATGAATTTCAGTAGAAAGGGACCTCATAGTAGAAGTAGTATGATTCCAGCTACCATCCAATGCAGGAATCCTCTCTGTAACATCCCTGTTATACCATCATCTATCCTTGGCTTAATTAAACACTTCCAGAAACAGGGAGCATACCTCATTGTTAGCTCTGATGTCATGAGTCAAAATTTTTTTCTTATATTAAACAGAAATCTATTTCCCTATAACTTTAACATGTTGGTCCTGGTTCTGCCCTCTGGAACTACATGAAATAAATCTAATCCCTCTTCCAAGTGACAACCCTCTAAATAAGTGAAGACAGTTTTCATATCTTGAGACTCTTCTTCAGGTTAAACATCTCCAGTTCAGTCAGCCATATTACCTCATCATGTATTACTTCATATTTTCAAGACCTCTAGCTATTCTGATTGCCCTCTTCTCCACTTTATTAATGTCCCTCTTAATATATGATAAGCAGAATAATTCAATATAAATACTTGGACATGAGCTGACCAGTGTAGAATACAATGGAATGGTTACCACCCCCCCACTCTTATTCCTAATTTTATATTTCTATTAATGTAGTTTAAGATCAAATCAGCTTATTCAGTTACTACATTTCATTATGGATTCATATTCAGCCAGTAGTAAATTAAAACCATTGTCTGTTTCACACAACCTGCTTCATCCAGTTTTTTCCTATCCTGTATTTATTAAAATGATTTTTAATTTTTCTCCATTTATGTTATTGTAGTATATTGTTTGGCTTACTCTACTCTGCATCAATTGAAATCTTTCCATGCTTCTCTGAATTCTTTGTATTCATTATTTCTTATGGCACAACAACGTTCTATTCTATTTATTTATCACAGTTCATTCAGGCATATTCCCCAGCTGATAAACATATACACTCTTGCCAATTCTTTCTTATCATAAAAAAGTTCAGCTACAAATATTTTGGCATATGTAGCACCTCTCTTTCTGTTTTTGACCTCTTTGAGGTATATGCACTTCTTTCTAGGTGAAAGGATACGGACATTTTGTTACTTTTTTTTTTTTTGGTGAGGCAATCAGGGTTAAGTGACTTGCCCAGGCTCACACAGCTAGTAAGTTTCAAGTGTCTGAGGCCGGATTTGAACCCAGGTCCTCCTGACTCCAACACCAGAGCTCTATCTGCTACACCACCTAGCTGTCCCTTTTAGTTACTTTCTTAGCATAACTCCAAATTATACACAAGATTTTTTTAACCTAATCCTCCCATCAGAACCACTCTATTTCCTCTCCCTTCTCATTCCCCTGTTCTGCTTCCTCTCACCTGTTCCATGTGCTCTGGGGCCCGAGTGTGCCATAGCGCTAAGGTACATCGCCGTCCCTTTGTCACAGCCCATACTCCATGGGGATTCTCTCCCCCCGAACTGAAGGCCACAAGACGTCCACACTGAGGGCGAACTTGGGCCTGGGAGTCAATGGAAGGATGGGAGAGGGAAAAAAATGACTGTCATGCTTCCAGAAATCCACCTTCCTCCAACATCCCATATAACCATGGCGTCCTCCAGGGATAGACCTATAAACAACAGTCACCTCCTACATAGCCCACGTTCAAAACAAAGGCTAACAAAGTGGGTAGAAATGGTTTCTGTTGTCTCAAACCAGACATGAGGTATGGATGCATGTAGAATGAGTCTCCTAGAACTTTTAACTTCCCTCACCCCCACCTCTGTGAGACATCAACCAGGGGAACTATAAAAAAACATAGAAGCAGTGAAGCAGAGCTTAGTTATAAGAATGTGGCAGATCTTGCTCTCTATAGAATTCAGTGTGTTGAGAATATATTCACTGGCTCCCTCCCTCCCTCCCCTGTCACATCCCAGAGAACAGTGACTACAATCCCCCTCATCCTCAAATGTAGGGCAAAGGGAAAGATACCAGCAAGTTTCAGCCCTGGTCAGCCAGAACACAGGCATCCTGAGCACCAGGGCAGAGAGGCAGAGATACTGGGACCTGGGTGGAAGGGAAAGAGCCCCACATTGTCCAACCCCTATTCCTAAGGCTTTGTTCTGGGGTACAACTCTACGTGTTTTCTGTTTACTCTTTGGCACCTTTATCTCCTAAATGAACCCTATCAAAAAGGGATGTGAAACAATTTAGTAGGGTAGAGCTATGGATAGAATTGGGCTAAAAAGGGCAAAAGAACCTTAGAAAAATCTTGCCTTCTCTCTTCTCCCTGCCCCAAGGAAACAAACAGAAAATAAGCAGACTTAACCAGTCATAGATATGTCTATCTAGAAAATGGCATAGGTAGATAGCTAAATAACTGCCCCCTCCTCTCAACCCAAACTTCTTGTTTTCTTCCCAGGAATTCCATGTTGTCTTAGAACTGGGACTTTTTTTGGGAGGCAGAAATGGAGTTCCTTTTCCTAGTGTTGTTTTTTTTTTAAATTAAAAATTTTTTTTTTTTAGTTTTTAGGCAATTGGGGTTAAGTGACTTGCCCAGGGTCACATAGTTTTTCCTAGTGTCTTGAGACCACTGGGTCCTGGGGGTGGGTGTGTAGTAGCAACAACAGTATTGACAGTAAAGTCCTCCGAATGAAGTCGGAGATGAGACACCATGCAGGCCACACTGCCCTCCTCAATGGCTACCCCTGTACATCCCAGGGAGAGAAACATGGCAGAGATCCATGGGTAAATCCTGATTTACTAGCTGAGAGATAAGGAAGGAAGGAGGAAGAGAGAGTATAGTAGGAAAAGAGTTAAAGAGTCCCAGTCGTTTTCCTGTATTTGCATCTGGGCAGCTTCTGATTTGAATCCTGACCACCCCCATCCCCATCCCCACCCCTTCCCCCCCCGGCACCATCTGGGTTCCCCCTTCCCTGGCTCACCGTCACAGTGAGGGCATCTGGCTCAGTAAAGAACAAGTCCCCACCCTGGAAGTCATCATTGAGATAGAGGAGCCCACTGGGGAGGGAAAAGGGGAGACAGTGAGCCTCTCCTCTATGCCCAGATCATAGAATTTAGAGCTTGAAGGGACATTAGAGCCCATCTAGTCGAATTTCTGTATTTTACAGATGTTAAATTAGGGAGATACCTCCATCCCTAAAGGCTCTGCCCTATGAAAACTGTGGAGGAGGGCATATAGACTAGCCTTCAACCCACCCTCATCCCCACCTGTAGTCCCGGTAAGTGTATGCTGGAGGCTCCTTCCAGCACTCCCCACTGTAAGGGTCCAGGAGACAGTTGTCAGCATGGACTGGGTGACTCAGATCCATTCGCTGCTCTTGCTCCCCTGGAAGGCAGAGCCATTGGGTAGGAATGCGCATGTCACTTCTTTCCCTTCCTATTGCACATAGTTACATCCCAATTGGTCCCTGGAGATGGACGTTCCCCCTGGAGCCACAAATCTTACCCAGGAAGAGCCACAAGGGGATCTTAAGGGTGTTAGACCCAAGACAGGAGGCTTAGGGTGGGGCGAGGGCAGCGGGTGAAAGGAAGCCTCAGTAAATACCATCAATGGCACTTCGGCAGACTAGGTGAGTGAAGGAGAGGTGCAGGGGCCATTCGGGGGAGAAGTACGCCTGGGTCAAGTTCCGTGCCCGCTCACTGGCCTCCAGCAACAGTTTAGCTCCCCGTCTGCCCACAGCTCCGGCCCGAGCCAGCTACAAAGAGGATACACGTTGAAAGAATGAAGAAAAGTAACAGAGACAGGGCAGCCTCACCCTACTTCTCCCAACAATCTCCTTGGGTTTAATAACTCCAAGGTTTCCCGCTAGCCTCCTTTTCATTGCTGTTCAGACTTTCAGTCGTGTCTGACTCCCCATGACCCCATGGATGGGTCTTCTTGGCAATGATATTGAAGTGGTTCGCCATTTCCTTTTCCAATGTGTCCCCATTTTACAGATGAGGAACTGGTTCCTGATTCCAGGCCCAGGACTCTATCCATTGTACTACCTAGCTGCCCCTGCCAGCTTCCTTAATATCCTCAAATTCTGTTTACCAAATTTGGAATATAAGCTTCAGGCATTTGAGTTAACAGTCCCTTAGAGTAGTCCTTCCCCCAACTCTGAGCAAATCTCCAAAATCTCTGGTACATCCTCTCCCGCAAATCTGGGGAAAGGATTTAGGAATATAGGCCCCTTCTCAC